TTTGGAAGAAAATACTTCAAATGACACCTTCCACTAATTTTTAAGATTACAGACTTTTGTGCAATAACATGAAGTTTTGGGACTCTATCAAGGAGAGCAGCATTGAATTAACATTCTTTTCTAAAACCCTCCACAGCTGAACAGATGATGGCAAGCGTGCACCATAAGAACACTTTATGAAAATGTCAGGGGTCTTAGAAATAGTTGACATTCTCTGGCCTTCAGTTTCATGATCTTTATCATAGTAAAATGTTTTTGCTTACTCCTTGCACACCTGCTGTGTGTCAGTTTTCCCCCAGTGGAGCTCCCTTACTGCATGCACTGATCATACTGACATATATAACCATTTTCTTTATACCAAGAAGATCTCAGGCACTATTGGACCATCACACACTGATAAAAACAGAAATAAAACTCTTTGTGAAGAAAGAGGAATGTAGACCAGGAACATGGCTCACGGTTAGAATAAATGAGAACAGAGGCCTGGAACTAGCTGCCGTGAAGTTTGGATGAAAATTCATAAATATTTCTGAAGTATTTATTTTCATCTCATACAACCAATTATTCTCATGAAATGTCAGCAGCAAATCAGGCCAGGAGACAAGCTTCTTGAATTTTAAAGCCATAAAGCATAACCAAAACACTGCAGGGAGTGGGAAGGGTGGACAAGAGGAAGGAGTATAGAGCCAAGAACTTCAGTGCCTGACCTCTTTTTAACCTCTACAGTTCAAGAGAGTTTCAGCTCCTCTACTCCACTTCTTCTTAACTGAGCTCAGTAACTTTGCTGCCTGCCCACAAGTACCTTGTCACATGCATCATTCAACTCTACATATGCACTATGTAATCTCCTTCAAAATACATCTGCTTTTAGAAACATACTATCCTGTGCTTGTACTTTACAACAAAACAGCTTGAGGAACAGCAACAACAACAAAAATGGTGATTTTTGACTATAGAGTTGAAAAAGAGCAAATTTTAAAAAGTGTTCTAGCAGGTTTAATTGTATTTGGAAATACTTTACAATTTTTGTGAGTTTACATTTGTTTAACATAAACCAGTCTTTCAAACTTATTCTACACTGAGTAAACAGTTGTTGATGTTAAACCTATTGAGCACAAATAATATTAGAATTGTCTGGTTTACTTCAAACATAATTAAATTAAAAAATCAAGAGTAGAATATTTTAAACTTGATGTGTTAGGGTAACACACTCTGGAACTATGGAAAATCTCAGGTAATTATCCTTGCACAATTTTTTATTAGGACTTGTAAATTGAAATTACCTAAAAGATGCAGCAGGCTGTTAAGAATGGAATTTAGCTTACATGTGGAATTGTTAATAGGAGAGAGAAGATTCATTTAAATGAAATTATTCCAGGCCCATAAAAAATAGGCACAGAAACAGAAGTCCTAACTGTGCTTTCTCTCTTATTTAATGTAGAGGAATGGCCACCATGTAGAAGGCAAAAGCATTGGTCAAAACATTGCTCATACAGCAATTAATGAATCATACAAAAAAAAAAAAAAAAAAAAAAAAGACATGAAGATTGGCATATTTTATATTTGAATTTAAAAACTCATCATTTTTCATTTCCTCATATTTGATTTTAAAACCGCACAGTTCCCTCAAAATGGTCAGGAGGGTGGTACTTAGTCCTATACTTTGCAACACAAAATATACAATTATGTATATATATACAACCTAATGTTAGACTATATAACCTATACATAACCTACATATTAGACTTCCTTAATTTAGGTTTCCTTGTAAGAAAGAACATGGGATTTGCTGATTGATAAAAAATATTCAGAAGTAACAAACATTATCTCTGGCAATTCCTAGTGGTGACACTTAGTCTTTTTTGTCTTTTAACAAAAGAGAATTTTCTAGCTGAGAAAATTTAACTAATTTTGATGTGATCTACCAAAGCAGTTTGCAAAGACTAGGTGGTTTATTTGGAGAGTGTTTCCCTTCATCTGTGATAAAACCTACAAGCAGCTAATGGGAAAGAAAACAAATATTGCATGCGTACTAGCATTTTTCTGATGTAAAATGCTCAATACAAAATGTGTAAGTCTCAGAAGCACAAATGCACACAATATTAGAGATGCACAAAAAACCAATTATGCTGCAAACTTCAATCAATTTCGGTCTAATTTGTATTAACAGTGTAAAAGCTTAAAGTATTGGAATGAGATGTCAATAAAGGTTTTATTTAAGTTTTCAAAATAAATCTGAAGTTGAGAGATATTTCTGACCTACCAATCTTTCTTCTGCAGTGGTTTCTTTTCAGATTATCCAATTCTCTCTCAGGTTAATTAACTGAGAATATTGTTGCTAAATGAGTACAAAATATTGCTGTTGCTATATGAGTACAAAATTTTACTGTTTGTTTTCTAGAAAATGGATTAGTAGACACACTATGAGAGCCACACCTTTCTCAGTTAGGTAAGTGATCACTTGACGTGGCATTGAATAAATAAATAATCAGTAAAAAAGTTTCCAGTTAAAATAATTTTAAGTTATTATTCTTAATTAATTGCAATTTTTAATTAATTGCAATTATCATTTTAAATTTATTTAATTCTTATTACTGCTTCTTATGGATTCTTTTCAGCTGTAGTCCACAATACTAGGAGAAAAGTATTATGACTGTCAAGCCAGGAGTCCACCTACACAAAGTGTCCTCTATCCAGTATTAGTACACTCCTTAGGCTCAGGATGACACACCCTCTAGAGACCACAATATTCTTGGCAACAGCAAAACCACTGACAGAAATTAAAAAAGGATGGATTTTATAGCAAGTAGAACAGCACAAATGTCTGTGTGGAATCACTCAGTATCACTCAGGTGCTTCAGTGAGTTTTTTCAGTGCTGACAGCCCCATGTGCTGGTTCTACAGAACTCCAGTCAGTTCTACAGATTTCTTCAGGCTGCGCTTCCCTCATGAGCAGAACAGTGAGGCTTCAACCCATTCAGAGGCACTTACCTCACCACTAGCCTCAGCTACACTTAGAACCCACATGCAACAAGAAGAAAACCAAAATACTTTTCCTTGACATCCACAGGAGCACCATGAGTCCATGTTTTCTTTACATGGCACAGTACAAAGTCAGCAAAACTGGTGAATTTCCAAATGCATGACATCCCAGTTTCATTTTGCACTGATACAAGACAGAACAACATTTCATGGAGGTCCTATCCTTTTTCCCCCCCCAGACACCTATGTTTTTACATTAGACATAAGCAGGTCTTGTTTGTTTGCAAAAATGATGTTTGGGATTAAAGGGAAGCCAGTGTTTTAAATCAACATAGATAACATAAAATTGAGTAAGATGTGAAGCCAATTTTTTAAACAGACTGTAAGGGAATGCTTTGTATGAAGTTCTTGACAACAAAAAGCATCGCCTTTGATAATCAAATTCCAACTTCACTGTCACACTGAAAAAATAACAAACCTGTAGGGGAGATGACATCTGCAAAGTTTTGTATTTACCCTAATACAGGCTGGATATTTTAAGAAAAATAACAGAAAAAGTGAAAGTTCTGGCTATTCTGTGCAGGGAATTACCAGGTAACTTGCAGAACCATAGTCCACATGCTCCAAATGAAGAAGAATGTTCCCAATTCAAATAATTTTTACAATCTCTTACCTAAAACTCCCAAAAGTTGGTAACAGAAAAATTTCATCATTATCTCTCAATTTAATTCAGAAGTAACATGTTTTCAGAGCTCAAGCTGAGAAAATTCCAGCACAAAAACCTCTAAAGAATACTTTGGACTTGTGTTTCAAAGTGTTATGGTTAGAAACAAAAATACAGTTTTTGAAATCTACATTCTTTGTTTCCATTTAAGATGTCTTGATTGCCAAAAAATTCAATATAATCTTGTTCTTTAATTAAACCCAACCTCAAAATTAATTTGCAGACTAGTCCAATTCTAACATGCCAAATGAGAATTCCAGTTAGCCCTTGCTGAACCAGGTATCAAATTCTTTAACTGACCCATGCAGATTATCCCAAGCCCAACATGCCGTACTAATTCAGAGACATGGCAAGTATCTCAAATAACTGGGAAACAGTTATTTGAGACATCTGAATACAAAAGTAGTCAAACATATTTTGGGGAGGGACACACATGTAGTGGTGTACATGTTCCAAGTGTTTACTAAAGCTTAGTTTCTTTTGAAATACATAACAAAAGTGGACTAATTGTTTTCATTAAATAATTTCCCTTCTTCCAAGGAAGAATTCCAAATTATGGAATTTGTAGTCATGTTAAGGAAAATTGATGCTGACTACTGAACCCCAAAAAAACTTTAGCAATCACACTGCATCAGACATCAAAACCAAAAATTAAATAATCTGATAGACTGAAGATTTAAATAAACCACAGAGACATATAAGCCTCAGTTAGCAAAGGGCAGATAATTTTAAGATGTTTTTTAAAAATAAGCTTATTATGGAGTGTATTTTTGCCATGAAATTACCCTAGGATAACAGGTTCAACAAATAAGAACTTTCAATCAGCTAGTAAGATTCCTGATATGTGCCTATATCCTGCAGCAAAAGTGGTAAACACTTCACTCAAGGGTCAATGAACTAACATCTCTCTAGCTCAGGACATCTTTTTGATGAATGTGAAGCAGCTGGAATAAACAGATCAAGGGTAACAATTGTGATCCCATGGTAGACCCAGCTGCTGCAAAAACAAACCCGGGGGGAAAGAGCCGAAGATTTAAAAAACCTGCAATATAAACCCCTCTTACATCATACAATGCCATTGTTTCTGCTTCTTTTTAGAACACAGGACTCTCTGCAAACACTGGTCAAAAATGAATGTAGAGATTATTTTGTTAGAAGCAAACCCAGTTTATAAAACATTTTAAAAAATTCAAAGAATGGTTGTTTTATTTAAACAGTAATAGTTTTATCTTTAGCGACCTTTCGTACCTGCTATGAGAAAGTTATTTGAAAAATAAATGGAGACTCATACCAATCCTGTTAATACTTTATTAGTGTAATCTTTTAGCTTTCTATTGGACAGAACATAAATGCAAACTCCAAAAAAAATTCAGAGTCCTCTGCCATTCAGTAGAAGTGACCATGGCAGTCCATTTCATGTTCATTCTTTGTTACAGAAACAAGAGGAGGGGGAGGGGAGGGGAAAAGCATCAATAGAACAATTAGGCACACAGCTGACACTTACTGTACAATGATATGCACAAGTAATTTATAACAGCTCTATGAGTTCATGAGATGTGTTCTTCAGATTCTTCCCTTGTAATACATGAGCTTTGCTCAGGAGAGCAAGGATCATTGAGAACAAAGGAATTAACAAAGGAGTAACAAGTAAGACTTTTAAAACAAGTCCTTAAATAAACTAAAGTAACAACAGAATGCAGAATTGTTCACCTGAGAAGACATTTTTAACCTAGACTTCAGAACATTAAAAATTCATTTATTTTACAGCTATTCAAATACACATGCATTAAATGAAAATATTGCACAAAATTAAAATTTAGATTGTGGAATTTATATAGTTTCATTTTGGTACACATTCTGGTAGCACTTAAAATTAACTGTTTAGTTCTAGCAAACACCAGCAGCACAAGCTTGAGGATGAACCAAATGAAAAATTCAATTGCTTATTTTCTCTTAAAAATAATTAAGGCTAAAACAAGTGCATTTGTTGATAGTGGCACTATTTTCAGCGGCCAGTCACAGCACCTAAAGGCCAGAAGATACACCCAGACACTTCAGTGCTGTATATTAACATTCAGTTTTGGAGACTTCCTAGGATAATAGGCTGCATGGGTTCACAGCGTGGGTACTTCAAATTGTCGACAGGAAAACCTTTTAAAGAAAGATACATACAAACTTGCTTTAATAAAAAGTGCTCATTTCTGATGGTTCTTGCCAGCCAACAGGCACCACTGAATTAGGAAGCCACATTCTGTAATTAAATACAGAAGACAAAACTTCAATACCTATATACGTATGCACACATGCCTATACAAATGTGTGTATAGGTATATGTAATAAATTCATTAAGTAAAACGACTAATAAGTATGGTGTATTATGTTTAGTTCACATTCCTAGAGATATTATTTTATTTTTGTACAGAGATGTACCAGAGAACTAAATAATAAAAAAACCCGCCAAATTTGTATATTATCACTATCCTGATGAAATTTTTCATGGTACCTACAGATAGATAAAAGGTTCCACAGATTTGACAAAACAGTATTTGAACTTCCCACTTTCATACTGCTTAACAAATTCAGTGACTTAAAAGACAGAAATTGGATTTGGTAGGATTAATGAGATATTTACTGTATCACCAAGAACAACTGCTGAATGATCTTTCATCAGTCAGATATCAGTTATGCATGAGCACCCTGACAGAGGAAGATACAGGCATGTAAACAATAGGAGCTGGCTATGTTGATTACTTCACACAGAACTCAAGAATTTTGTTAAATTTAAAAGCATTTAACCATCACACTTCCACAGAACCTGCAGAGAGGAAGGGAGAGGGGTTCTTCTATATTTACCAAGTTGTCTTCCTAGGGATTACAAAAGAAAGGGATTTAATTTACAGCATTTAGTTCTGCAATAAAGAAAAAAACAAGTGCACTTGAGCCCATGCATACTGTATGAGAATGTTAACAGTACAATATGATCATCATTAAGTAGTATGATAAAAGGCTACATATCATTAATAGAGTCCATGAGAAAAATTATCTATATAGAAGTGTCAGTCAATTTAACGAGGTCCTTTGAGAGCCTTCTATCTTGTCTCAGAACGCTTTCATTAAAGGTCTATGTTTCTCTCTTGCATAAAAGGACCATTTGCTCCCATTAAGACACAAATTACAGCAAGGATCCTTGGGATCCTTGATCCATAACTGTATTTTACCCTGTGTTTAGTGTTCAGAAAAAAAAGGGACTCTAAAAGATTACCTTCAATTCACTCAAGATAGTGCTCAAACAGTCAGGGACTATGAAAAAGAAAACACAAACTGAGATATGCTGTGGCCAAACAGGATTATTCAAATGTTACTGTATTTTTAATCGGACAGAACTTCTTCCATGAAACTAAACAGATGGATGTGGGGCCTTGATGTCAAATTTTTATTAAAATTTTACACTATGCAAAAAATAAAAAAATTATTTAAAAAAATATTGTAGTTTTATTTCCTTTTTATTTTCATATATACACTGAGATGCATTCAGAGATTTCCAAGTGTTTGCATATGACTAATGAAATCTTTTACCTGTGAGGAACCAAGTAATTCTAACATTTTTCCATATGATGCTTACACACTAAAAGGTAAGGAATCTTTCAATTAAGTAGGACATAGTTCTTTCACATCCCAAAAATACTCCAGATTTTAGTGGGGAGTTGTGTGTAAACTGTGTCTTAGTGCAACTTCCTCATCTTCTAACACAATATCTATTCTCTTCGAAACATATACTCCTTTCCTTCTACAACTACCAACTTGACTTATGTTCCAATAGACCAACTGAACATAAATATGATGCTCCTTCTCCACTGAAGTTACATGCAAAATGTATGCCAGGTGCTGTAAGAGCAGCATATGGCCTTTAAACGCTACAGAATAATCAGAATAAAGGGTTTGTTTCTACTGCACCTCTGCTTTTACTAAAGCTCCCATTAGATATAAGGTTAGTTTAATTTTCAAAATATGAAAGGTGATGCAAATGTGGCATAAAAGCCACCTTACCTCCACTTTTATTCAATAAATGTACTTTTATGATGGGGCTATAGCTATTCTCCCTGCTCCTACCAACCTGTTATTCCACAGACTGCTTTCCTGGTTAATTCATCCTTTACAGGAATGTTAAGATAGCCCTAGAGAGCCTCAACACTTGTAACGCCGAACAATTCCACCTGACTCTCACACATTGCACTATCTCCCAGAGCCAAAACACCCTTTTCTTCAGTTGTATCACCATAGTTGTGCTTTACTTGAACAGTCTGGCACTTTGCATTGCTGGCAAAACATCGACTCAGGAACGGAAGGGATCAGCATTCTGATATACTGGGCCAGTTTTCTTCCCAATGTTGCATGAAGACGCACCAAATCATTTAAGACACACAAACCACTCTGGTCGTGGTTGAACTACAAGTGAAGATGAGAAGATCCACAGGTCTTACAGATGCATTAATAATCTAATATGTGACACTAGAAGACTGGTGCAGAAATGACGGCATGTGAGTTTGAAGCCCCAGAGAATCTGCCCAAGTACTTAATCCTGGACAAACAAACACCAGCTTAATGGATTTGAAGTGTCACCTTTTCTGTAAGGAAGGCGCTTGAGTAGAGTGTAGTCTCTGCTTATATCTCTGCATTTGCTTTGACCTTGAATGCAGTTTGTGGAACAGCTCAGGGAACTTATTTTGTGGAAATAAGGTTTCTAGGAATCTCTCCAGAAACACATACACCATTCTCTTATTCAGCTGACTATGCTGGAACATTTCGAAGACCCGAAGAATGCCCTTCCGTGTAGTCTCAGCACCTATGATGTGCTTCAGTTCATCTACAAAAACAGAAGCCACACAAAAGTTTAAGCTAATTTTGCTTCCATGTTAACAACAAACTTAAACTGAATATTAAATCTTTCAAACTATGCAGCCTGAAATTTGAGGTAGCAGGGCCTCTACACAACATGACTAAACGAAAAGTTCTCTTACAGAAGAGAGCATTTCTGAAAATGACTTCACTCTTACCCTATACATGTGGAACTGTGTTTACAAGAAATCCTACTGGTTTGGAATATACCCATTTCAGGCAAAACTTAATCCTCTAGAAACTTAATACTGGGATGGCTCTAAGAGAATTACTGACAGTACACATGAAAATGTCCAATGCTTTAATAATTAGAAAATTTTTTATTTAAATACAGTTCATATATCAAGGTTTCTTTATAGTACTTAACAAAATCAACAATAATACCAACATTAATTTCAGTAACAATATATTGTATGGATTATTAGGCTTTAATCCCAGACTCACTTACCTGGCATTACCTCCAGCAATTTGGTTTTCCCTGCCACTCTTGTTCTCATTCTAATAGCTTTGTCCCTTCGTGGAACACTTTCTGCTAAAATACCGTTGGGCCAAAAAGCGTCTCTGTAATAAAAGCAAATCTGTCAAAATACATTAACATTTTATCAAGTGAAAAGCTCTTTTAAATCTCTCAAGGCTATCTCATAAAATAAATATAAGAAAGTAATGTGCACAACCTAACACACACTTCAAATATCAGAAGAGAAAAAGAGAATGAAGAATGATGAAGATGATCAAGAAATCAAAAGCAAGTAGTACAATATACTCAACCTATCAGGAGCTACCATATACTTTTTTAGTTTAGGGATCAGAAGAAGTGACATTTTAATAAAACAATGCAAATCAAAACCATTCAAAAACCACATAGTTCTTACATAAAATAGACCTAAGCCTTGCTTTTACCAGGCTTTATTGCTACTGAGACTCCAGGTCTATTAATTGCTTCATCAAAATTTTGACACCAGCAGTTAGCTTTTCAACAAGCTAAAGCTGAGAAGAAATAGTTTCAGTGTAGTAAAAAGTCCAATGCAAAAGACATGCCTCTGATAAGTTATTCTGCTTCAGTGAAAGACATTTTCTTTTCTGAATAAAAAGTATGCATTACAGTTTAATCAAAGAATAACAGTACACTTGTAAAGTATGACCCTTTGGAGAATACGTTACCCAACTTTGACTTTCATCCCAACAAAAAAAAACCACCCAAACTATATGGAAAGAAAAAACGTGTGTAACACTTCCTCAACACCAATTTAGAAGCCATTAAAACTTTTAGGAAATTGATAGTTTCAAATTCAGACTTCAGTTCCATTGTATCTATCCAAAGTGAAACATTATCTCGGAGCCAGGACTCTTAGCATTAATTGTTTGCCTTTAAAAGCAAGGCATGTACATGCCTTCATCAAGGCAAACAAGACATTACATCACTAGAGTGATAAATTATGACATTTCTAAGTATACCTGTACCCTAGCTCCTCTAGACTGGTTGACAAATAAGTTTTTAAGGTAGAGGAGAAAACTTAAAAATAGTTTTAAGAAATGTCTTTTCCATGTGACAACAGCTTTCTCTCACTTAACATGTGTAAAAAGCAGTGTATGATCCAACTGCATTCTGGAGAATAATAATTTCCTCGTGTAAGAGGAGATGGAAGACATATAGATATTAGACATCAATTGGTTAGTGCTTTGTATTTAACATCTGTGATAAAAGACATACCTGAAGCGTTTCACTGCATCTGCTACTTGCTCGGGAGATGTCATCCAATCAACGTGATCAACTATTTTTCTAAAACCAAAGCAACAAGTCTCTTGTTTAATTTTTAAAGCAGACAACATATAAGTGAAGCATTTTAATGAGCATTCTAGGGAAAACAAAGTATAACTTTAACCTTCTTCAACTCTGTAAGTAGGTTCTATAATACTGCACAATAGGAAGGCAAACACTGATTCTCAAGATAGAAATCTAAGCTCACTGATCACTCCTTAGAGCTAAAACTTTTTTCTTTTTGGGTAAATATACAATAATGAAGTTGGCTGCAATGCTTCTGTTGCATCTCCCATCAGCATTAGATAACTGGTTTGCTTCTACCCACGTTCTTAAGGGGGTACTCTCAGGTTCTGCTTCTGTAAGCAAAGGACCTACTCAGAATCTCAAAATACTTGCTGCGATGTGTACAGTTACTTCACAAGCCTTAACAGGAAATACAGACTGATAATTCATCAGGCCTTCATTCACCAACCCATACACAGAGCTCTATATCCAAATCTAGGATGCTTACAGAAATGATACATGCATCTGTGTATCACCACAATCCCATGACTGTCTCCCTAACCACAACTTGAATTTAGTTTTCTAAGAAACAGAAAAAGATTTTTCTGCAGAATGCTATTAAATCCCAAGAACTTGCCAGGACAAGGTATGACTGCTGACCAGAGGAAGCCATGAGTATCTGAAATGGCTCTAAATGCAGAAGCAAACTAGTACTACACTACAGCCATCTCTGCAATAAGGAAGCAGCAGCCTGTGCAGAAACTGTTGCTTATACTACAATCTCGAAACAGCAAAAAGCATTCAGAGTTATTCAACAGGGCAGCATGTTCTTGGAAGTACAGTTCTCAAGACAGTTTTCAACTGGCCATAAGGAATTACTTGAGAAAAACCCTGTGCTATTTTACCACATAGTTACCTCATTACTGCTACACAAGTCTGTACATTTAACAGTGATGATGAAAACATCACAAATATAATTGTGAAGGGTAAAAAGAAATGACACAGTGAGGAATGTCCTGAAAAAAAGGAATAGGAAGCTATTTCTCACCATCTAGAAATTAAAGTTTTGATTCACAGTACTAAATCAAAAGTAACAATGCAGGTCTAAACCTGTATCTAGAATTTGCTGCTGTTTATATTTGCTCACATTTCAGAAACAAATTATTAGAAGGCAAGCCTGGAAACTGTATATTTCTCAGCTGAGGGCAAGAAATATTACTTAATTAGCACCATTAACTGTCTTTGCATTTGCATGAATAAGTGTACATGTGAAGTAAAAAGAACATGGAGTGGCCAAAACAGACCCCATAGGAGTCCTTTTTCTTTCCCACTTCCATCTTTTAAGTGTGAGAGCAAAAACTTTACAGAGCAACTCAGTATAGTTCACATAATTTGAAAACGCCAGTGCATCATTTGTGGCATGAAAGAGATGTAAGCAGAAATAATGCAGAAAGTAATAAATAATATTAATTAAAAAAGGTTTAGTGGTAGAACAGGACAAAAAGCAAAAGTTACATTCACAAAAACATGAACTCTTACATGTGAAATCTCTTTTTTAAGTTCTCTGGCCTGTAAGAGTTACTGGAATTTTTCTTTCAATAATGTTTTATGTTTATCTCCATTTTATACTATGTTTGCACTCAGTTTATTGATGTTTTTCCAAGGAGGAATGCATGCAGATTTAAAGCACAATAATTTAGTATTACCAAGAAGGATGTATAGACAGATACTACACAGTCTCACACATATGATTGATCTATATAAGAAAAGCAGTACCTATTAATTGTGTCACCATATGTTGCTCTAATAAGTTGCTGAAGCAGATTTTTTATATTTCTTCTTAACCACTGATTTCTCTCTTTTAAATCAAAGACTTCATCCATAAGCAGGAGCATTACTCTCAGCGGAATATTGTCATCCACCTGATCACCAAGTAAAAGAATAAACAGTAAACTTCTATTTCAGGTCAAGAAAGCTACAGTTTTAGAAGCTACTTTAGCTGTCAAACACTTCAGTATAAGCACAACAATGACAAACACTTTACTTTGTATTTTACTGTAATATGAAATCTTCCCTACATCTTCTATAACATCATTAGTTGCAAAGAAGGACTGAAAATTGAATAAAAACCAGATACACTGAATTTTTAAAATATGACGAGAAGCAGCTATTTCAAAAGTCAACAGTTAGAGAAATTGAATAAAATTAATACATGTGTGTCCTAAAGAGAGACCTCATCCCTGATCTCTTCCTGGTTGCTGTGCTTCTAGCTACCTTACACAAAAAGGCAGAAAATCTCATTTTCTTGGGCACCATTCTCTTATGGATGCTAAAAACAGTGACATTTCACTGCAATGAACTGCTTTTTATTTAGACTTCATTGTAACTTGCATGACTATCCTGTGCTTTTATGCTTGAAGATGAAGAAAAGGATCATAATTTTACTTTTTTATTAGATTATGGTACACAGATTGGCCTACAAAAACATGTTGGAGGGAGAAGAGAAAAACATCAAAAAAAATGAAACCCCCCAGTCATAAAACAGAGAAACAGTAGCACATGCATTCTTCACAGTTATTCCAATGTTGTGTAAACCATTACAGTGCTAGCAAAAATATTAATTTTAAAAGGAAGCATGCAAATATCTTTTTTAAAAAAGCTTAGAACTATTTTGAAGTGCCTGGTATAGTGTCAGAAAAGAACAGAAGTGTAATTCAATGCAGAATAAGTAATTAATTTGTTTGGTTTTAGAGGTGTCAACTTTGAAAGGACAAACATCAGACTCACGTTGTCATCAATTGGTGCTGCAACACGGCAATGGTCAGGATCTGAATAGGTTTTCTGCATCAGAGGTGGCACCTACAATAAAAAAGGCTATGTTAATGATAGAAAAAAATACTTTTGAGTATGAACAAATCAGAAAAAGATTCATAAGTAGTCTGGTTATGAAAATATAAAACAACAAGATTTGGTCAAAAGTAACTGCAAACTAGTATATACACAGCTGTGGATAAATACACAGCAGCTCTTTCACCTTCCAAAACCAAAAATCAGGTTTGTATACATTTCCATATAGCTACCAAAATTATCAATATCTTTAAGACATTCACATCTAATTTGTCAAGTGCCTAGTGCTTCAAGTGAAAAATACTTGAAAACTCTTATAAGAGACTGATATTTCTTTTGCTATTTCTCCCTTAACTCTGATCTTAACTCCTGCCTAGTCACAGGCTTCCCAGCAAGTACAGCTGCAGCTCTATTGCTAGTCACACACCAGGGAAGTTACTAGCAATGATCAAGTCCAGAGACAGTCATTTTGCCCTGCAAGTAATTAAGAAACCTCACATATCTCCCCAGGCCCCAATTTATTATTCCCTTTCATGATTTAAGGATTAATTCACCCATCTCAGTTGCTGTTCTACATCTGCCATATATAGCACAAAATGGAACAACCCCTGACCACAGACCTTATAGCTACACACAGAAAGAGGAAGACCAGAGAAACAAAGGGAAGATGAACATGTTCTGAATGTTAACTATTTTCATAGGACTTCCAAATTGTATATCATGCTACCATTCCTTACCTCTAAAGTATTATATTTTATGAATGTAAGAGATGAGGGAAGATGGCAGTAAAGACAGAAAAAAAATTAATTTAAACCAGAATTCAGCAAGGAATAAGCAGAAAAGAGGTTATCTCTTTATTCTAAGTTTCAAAATATATGAGTTTTTTCCCCTAACAAAAACAACAGATGCAGGAAATTAGCAGATTGAGAATAGTTAGTTAAAAAATAAGCCATGAATCTCATGTTCTTCTCAAATTACTTCACTGAACTAAGTGGAGAACTGTAACAGTCTGTAGATGCCATCTTAAAACATGTTACTTAATTGCAAAGACCTCCATTTTTGCAGTAAAATCACATTCCTTTCAGCAAGCCAATAGTTGCTCTTCTGTTCATTTACTACTATGTATTAACCGCCATTATTTTCTTACCTTGAAAAATGATTGCTTTATGTCTTGTCCCAATCTCTCTGACATTTTACCCATGTTGTCTGACATTTTAGTCATTCCCTCTGCCAGGCTGTCAGGGATAGACTTGACTGCATTTGATACGTTTCTCATAGAGTTACGCAGTGGATTTACAAACGTGTCCATCTGAAGGGGAAGATGTTTAACCAGAATTGTATAATCTATGAGGACACCAGCATATTAATAAACTATGAGAAACATGGCACAGAGAGCAATAACATAATAGTTGTTCTTACAACTCAAATTACTTAACTTCACTTATTCAGAATGCAGAATACAGCTCTAATTTTACTTCCATTTATATTTCTCATTTGTTACAGCCCTACTGCAGCTATTTACATCTTTCAACAGATGTTTTCCTGAGTCATTTTCATTTCCCATCCCTTGGCTTTTCTTAGCTTAAATTTATTTTCCTTTTTTTCTCCATTCAATACCATTTCTCCCTTCCAACCATTCTACTTCCAGATGTTTCAATTCTGCTTTCAACTCTTCATCTTTGCAACATGCCTCTTCTAAACAGCACTGCAATAGTATGTATCATGGCAAGTATAATTAAAAACATAAAGTAGATTCACAGAAACTGTTACAATTTTTCTTTTGGTATAGACTCTGAATTCAGTCCAAACAGAAGCACAAATACCAGAGTGATGCCCTTTAAAAAGTTATGCATAGAAAGAATCTTGTAAGCTGGAAAACAGATCGTAGTCATTATAGAAACCTTGATAAATATTTAACTATTTCACTGTTAATTATTTAAGGAATATAGGCTGGACAGTAACTTGAGGTGACAAAAGGGTTGCAGATGCTTTTTATATCTAAATTGCTAAAACTTTAGAAATCGCTACATTTGCAAAGCAGATGCTCACACAAACTGGTCAACTGAACAAAGAACCACTTGTCTGAAGAAAGTTCTGGTGGCTTAACAAAAAGGATGTAGAGCCCAGAGCTCTGAATTTGACCAATGACTCTGGATGGTTACACCTAAATACATAACAGGTGCTCTTGAAGGGAAATGCAGATTGTGTTTTGGGCTGAAGAGTGGAAAGCATGGTTACAGCAGCAAATACAGAGTAAAGAACTGAAAAAAGAAAAAAGCAACTTGCAACAAACACACTTTTACACTAGTAGAGAAGTGTCAGTGCAATTTACTGTGTCCAGCTTCAAAAGTTAATTTTCTTGTCATACAAACAGATTTACCTATTAAAAAATGGTAATTTTTTGGTTCTGTATGTCTTCAGATACTTTGCCACTAAAAGTTTTATAGCAAGAATCATTTGCAAGATTTTCAAAGTGCTGTATAGCTCTTTCATATCAGTTCAACGTGTCTGTTTAAAGCAATCATTGCAAGAATGAATGCTCTAAAGTTCCCTTGACCATACAAAACATTCTTACCTTCCGTGCAAAATCTCCCTTCCCTTTGCTGTAGGCTTTATTCTCCAGGAAGTCATACACATAATGGGCTAAAGCTGGAGAAGCTTTCATCATTTCAGGATTTAACAAGAGCTGAGTAAAATAATTTTTAAAAATTATTTTAATACATAATTAACAAAACACAATCAAAGACATCACATGTAGCAATGTATTTTTTCATTCCTAAATTTTATTCCAACATTACACTAATCTCAAGATAGAAACAATGGGCTTCTTAGTAATTACCATAATTTTAACCCCTACGGTAATTATAGCATCTCACAGAAAAATATACACCTTTATCATCAAACAGTGATTTCACAGTGCTTTGTTCATCTTCATTATTTACTGTTAATGTGTTCATTGACTTGGTCCACAAATTTTAGGGCTAAATGACCATAAAGTCCCTATGAAGGAAGACAACTGAATTCTTTTGTTTGGGCTGATACAGGCCTTATCTGAACAGAGGAAGTATGTGATTTGCTACACTGCTGGAGTGGGTGCCACAGAAATCCTTACACAGCAGCACAAGAGAAAGTCACCACAAACATGTCAGCAGGAGAAGGTCAATGGCATAAAACTCAAAACCAACATACCTAGAACCTCATTAGCTCAGAAAAGCTGTGACAACTGGCTGAGAATATACCAAAACAGCAAAGAAAATGCAAACTTATGAGACTGTATCACGTTCTTATGGTATATTATTTAGTTTTGCATACCAACTACAACACAACTTTTTTTTTACAAAAGAAAAAACCACAAGCCACCTCTGAAAAATAATTCCAAGCACAGAGCTAAAAAACACCTGAATAACAGCTTACCTGCAAATAAGCATTTAAATCTTTTTTCCTCTTTTCCAAAAACTCTCTGTCCATATTGTTAAATGTTTTTTTGCCAGGAAGTTTTAGTATATTTGCAAGGTTTTCAAACTAGAAAAAAAGAGAAGAGGTTTTTTTCTGTTTTTAAGAGTTTCAAGTCTTCATAAGGACATTCTATTCACCTATTCTTATATATTATCTAACACCTGACAAAAAAATTCTGCATCATGCCTGGAACTGAGAATTCTTGGAGAAGCCAAAGAGAGAGGTATGCTGTGAATAAAAAATGCATGAAAATTCCCAGGAGACTATCAAGAGTAAAATTTAATTTCTTGTGAAACTCTCTTTTGAAGTACACTTTTGAAATACAAACCAATAGAGCGTGCAAAAGTCTTAGGCTCAAAATTTATCATTATTATTATTTGGAATCAAGTTGCTACAATTATAAGACTACATAAAGAGTAAAGATTTTCAAGAAAACTTGTAAATCTTTCTAAAAATCTCTCTCCTATCCTGATCAAGCCTATCAAAGAAATAATTAAGCTTTTCTCCCTGGAGAGATGGCAGCACCCAGTTTACACACAGGTTATCACAACCTGCTCTATATGTCATGATCTGTGCCTTTTCTCCAGGTAATGACAGTGATTGGCACTGTACATGGTTGACATGCATCCTGATCTAGTTTTGCAGGAAGAATGGCAGTTCGAGGGAAGGAGAAGGGAAAGAAGAGGCCCTAACAGTTAATAAGGCTGAATGTATTTGGTAAAATGCACAAAAAATTAAAAAATTACAACAATAAAGTTTGAAGAATCAGGACTATCCCCATACAGGATAAAGACTTCCTGTAAATAATATCCATAAGGTGGTAAAGAGAGAAACATACAGTATTCTAGGCTTTAAGAAACAATCTGGAAACAGGTTGCATCCTTTTCCTCTTTAGAAAACACCACAATATTACAGATACAAGATATGGATTCCATTCAGTCCTTGCAAGATCTCTTCTTGCATCATTAAACTTTGGACGGCCACAAAGCTCATATAAAATTTATAGTCTGCAGGAAGCACCAAAGAATAGCACTTTACAACTTTAGAAATCCCATTCCTTTGCAAGTAGGTCATATGGGAAAGTAACTGAACAGATGATGGTCTAGTTTTCATTTGGACTCTTAGATCTAACCAGAAGCAATATAAGCAACTAACAGCCTCTATTTTAAACATAGGTATTGACTTCAAATGGCATTTATTATATGACTCACTAAAGGAACTGGTGTGAATCTATTCAGTACTCTAAGGGAAAAGCCCTTAGAGACTTTGAACTGCTAACTTCAATTCCATTATAGATCAACTATCTATTTTTTCTGAAAAACAGTCCCTGCCCTTCCTACTAATTTTAAAACAATGATTCTAACTTTTAACCTTAACATGTCAATAAAAATATCTTAGACAAGCACACAAGACAGTAAGAATGGCTATTTTCTTGTCAAGACTAAGCAAAACTGTTGGGAACATCTGAGATGCCACAGTGAATCACAGAAATCTTAGTGCTCTTGGTTAACATTTCTAGTCTCTGTAAATTCAATCAGACTTAGCAACCAGAAATATTGAGCTTTAATATTTTGAACATCTTTGCTTCTGCTATTTATTTCTACTCATTTAAAATTATGTTAGTTTTAAATGATTGTCCCATACCAGCAGAATGTTAATTCACTCTAAGATCTAGGATTCTTCAATACACTGAATTAATTTAAGAAAATAAATTTGAAGGAGTACAAAAATCATTATTTCAAACTTATTGACAGCACACTAAGACTATCAGAAATTCAAAGGAAAGTCAGACTTCATTTATAATTAATCCAAGTATTCAACATGTTTGTTTTTTTAGTAAAGCCTTTTCAATTTTTATTACTGCTGTAACTTTAAAATGCTAACTTACCTGCACAAAATTTGGTCTCTATGACTCTCAATTAATAACAGAGTAAAGGGATATAAACTGACACTTCTGACTAGTTCAAAGGTTATGCAGTCAAATCTGACTTCTTCAAAGGCTTGGTTTTAAAAGCACTTCAGCCTCCTTTTAAAAGCACCGTGTTTTCATCCTTTTTTCATGTCAGTAGGTTCTACTTTGTACCAGCTGGTGAATTACAACTCTCTATATCTTCCTTCTTTCATTTTAGGAGGGTTAAGAGTCTGAGAATACAAGTACAGCAGTAAAAGGCAGATGGCTAGTAGTATAGTGAAGTGCTACCAGCTCTCCCTTTTGTGACCCCACCAATTCTTAACATTCACCTAAAACCTAAATATCTATTTCCCAACCTCAGCTTTTATTTCTTAATGTCTGACAAATACAACTAACTCTCTTGGAGACCAACAGCACTTCCGTACAAAGATTTAAAGTAAAATTAATCTCTATGAGAAGAGGGGGGAGACTTTCTAAGTTCCATTTAGTTTTCAAAGAGAAGTCATATATCATCAATTACTAAACTACAGAGAAGTGCACCTGTAAAGGTTTTCATGAGATGGGTTACCTGCTCAGTGATCCTCATGTGGAAGTCATGGAAGTCGCTGTAGCGCCGGTATGTCTTCCACATCTCCTCACTGTTGGCATTTCGCCGGTGGACGGTGATGGCGTACAGGGCGTACGTCTTGCCGTGGTCATTGCACACTCCTGCCACAGCATATGGGTCAGAGTCAGCATAGACTAGCAGTTTTAAAAACAAAAATAAAAAGGGAACAAACAGAAAGAAGGAAGACGAAAGGACACAAATGTGAAGTGAAAAAATGTCTGGAATGACAGACTTAAAAGACAAAAATGGACATGCAAGCAGAAGACTAAACTATGCCTTTAACTTAAACAGTCTACAGTACCCTCCAAAACTTACTACGTAAACTTAAATAGAGATTAAGCAGCTTTAAAGCTAGACAGGTTTCAATGACATGCAAAACATAAAAAGAAAAATTTTCAAATTTTAAATAGTAAATAGAACTTTAAAAAAGACATTTTAACCTAAAGAACTCAAGATGAGAGTGAAAGACAACTGTGAAACCAGAAGAAATTCCAGTCTGCAAAGTAGTCTAATCAGATTGCAAGAGTCTGCCCATCAGAAAAGCTTATAAATACAAGACAATGATTGCAACTTGCAAGCATTCAGTTTTGTTATTGGCACAAGTAGTTTGTTATTAACTCTAGGATAAAAAACCACTCCCCATGCTATTTTAGTCAACTATATATACAGACGTGTGTACGTATATATGTAATGCATTCTCTGTGTGCACACACACATTGTATGGAAAAGTCAATTCATAAATAAAAAGAACACATATAGCTATCTGAAATAGAAGCAAACATCTTTTTGATCTCTGTTAAATATTTAAGTCTTCTAGGACATTGCTCCCTCACAGAATTTTTCCCAGTACAATTTTCAAAACCTTCCATTTTATTTAGAGAATAACCTAGAACTACTATTATTTACACTGCATACCATTTAAATTGGCAACATGTAGTATTTCCATTTATTGAGCCAATATCCAGTATGTACAGTTTTCCAGTGACTAGATGAAAATATTTTTAATCAAGGTCTCTGAATTTTTCTACGCACCCACACTGCATAAAATACAATCCTCCCGAGAAACCATCAATTCCATCCTCAGCAGTACTTCCAGTCTTGATTTCTCTGAGGTATAATACTTTTGTCTAAGCACTCAGGGAGCTACTGTAGGATAGTGGAAGCTGCTGCCAATGCAAGAATTACACACTAGAAAGGTGAAGAGTGGGCACAGAGCATCTTGTCTTTGCCATCCAATCTCTAAAAGAAGAATTTTGAGTGCTGAATCCCTAGGGGAATGAGCAGCAGTCAGGATGGTGCCAAAAGACTGCCCAGAGAGCAGAGCCAGGAACCCCCAGCACCACAGGATGCTGCCCAAGCCCTGTCCTCTACATGCACATTGACCACTTGGCCCTGCAGCCACCAGACCACATCCCAGGGGCACTGCCAAGTGGCATCTTCAGAACCACTTCAGGCAGAAAAATAAAGAAGTTGTCCTACTGCCCCTTATGTCACAGCCACTTAATTAGTATTTCTTTTGCAACCCAAGACAGTGTGAATCTTGGAACACACAGAGATAATCCTGTCTGCATATTACCCTCACACACAGGCAAGGAGAGTAACTGGGTGAGGAAAAGGACCTGCTCACAGATCCAGGCAGTTTAATACCATCTTGCAATACAAACCTGTACAGATCTCCTGCTACAGCTGGAGCATTACATATTCAAAGTCAAACATATTCAGACTGGTAGTTATCAATACATGCTGTCCTCAAGATTACAAATGCTACAATTTATGTGATTCTAAGTTTACCTTTTTTCCTTAGGTTAGAATGATGAAACTTCTAAATTTAATTCAGAAAAAAGTACCACATGCTATTTTAATTAAAAAGCAGAATTTGGTTCTTAACTTTCAACTCATTTTCCCCTTTCCCTGAGGACTGACTACCATGACACTTGGACTGCACACTGCCCTCACACTGAGTTGGAATAGGTTTAATTAAAAAGTAAAGGAGCTGAATGCTTGCTGACAGCATGTGTCCACTACATAAATGCATAGATTTAAGAGCATATTGTACAGTAAAATCTACCCAAAAAGTATCTGAAGATCACAATTTAATTGCCCAATGTAATCTCATTTAACTAGAGTATATGCAAATAACAGATGAGATTTTTTTGTTATTTACTCTCATGTAATAAAGAAAAATAATTTCTTTCTAGGCAAAGTTTTTTAAAAGATAACCAAAAATGCCACCACAATAACAACAGAAGTTGCTTCCTTAAATTAAGCTAAGTCAGTAAGGAAGCACAACGAATAAGGGAAAATATTATACTAAGAGAATGTAACACTCAAGAATTATAATTCTGTGACTAGAAAGAGAGATGTCTTTCAGAATTTATTTAAATAATTGCTAAAATAAATCCTACTCAATAGTAAGTTCAATGAATGATTCTCCAGAGATAAAAGTAGTAATAAGAAATAAAAATTAAATCACTTTTTAAGTACAGATATATAGTCTGTGACCTACAGAACAAATACTGGAAAGATTTCCAAAGAAGACTTAATGGAAAATATGAATTCAAATGTTTTATGAGGCCAAAAAAAAAGACATAATCAGGATTTCAAGGGCCTGTAATATTACAAAACTCAAATGGTGGCAAAAAAAGTTAGCACACATCCTAACAGATTCACTTACCAGTATCTGAGATGTATGCATGGAGCTGAACAGTCTCATCAGTGGGGACATTTGAAAGGTCATCTAAGGACTGCAGGGTGGGGAGATAATGTAGGAGGAAAAAATGTGAAAAAAAGAATAAAATCAGAAATACATTGTATTTAATTCTCAAACTTTCAGTTCACTATACTAAAAGCTTAGTGCACTGTAACAATGCAGGTGTTTGTACTACTTGGTTACCAAAGCCATTCTTTTGCACAGTACAGAACATTTCATTTCCCTCTCATTTTCACACAGTTTTGTGACCACTCATATTTGATCAAACATATTTGCCACTTCAGTTTGATATCTCAGTCCTAATGGAAGTACAACTAAAAATGGTCTTTTACTGAGCATTGGGAAGAAAACCAAAACAAAACCATGAAATCTCCCAAACAACTGGGGAGATACAGATGTTGTATAACAGCTCTTCTGGCTTTTACCTTCATAACATTCTGCTTTCTTTCAATATCTTTATGCCCTACACAAATGTTACACAGCAGTAGAAACTGAAAGTTTTTCTGCTTTATGTGAAAAAAAACCCAAAACAGCCAACATTCTTCTCAGGAATATTTTCTGTCGTAAAAAATGAACAGGTGCATCCTCAGCTGATTAATGCTCTGTCTCCATATTTAATAACTACTGGGATCAAAAGAAGCTTAATGGTTTTTTTTGAGAAGCTTTGTTTTTAGTTACAATTAATACATCTGATTACTAAGATTTAACATAATAAAGTTCTTCAAAACTATTGAAAGAATTGCTTATGCAACTGACAGAAATCGAGGATGGGCCACTATGCATCCTAATCTTAAATTACCAGATTAAAAAAAAAAAAAGAGTTGGAGCTACCTAAGTAGAATTCACAGACACTTGGATCCCAGTTACCTTATGTCTTTTACCTCATAATTTTAAAATTCTCCAAAGAAACATATTCAGAATGAATACAGCTATTTGCTATCTTTTATAATTTAACCAAGCCAGTTTAATAGTGACTTACTATGAAAAGTTACCTACAATAGGACATACTGGTTAGCAGTGCCATACCCATATCAAACTAAAACCTCTACCTACATCAATTCAGTTTCTAAATCTCTGTTTCCTTAAACATAAAACAATATACAAGGTTACAACCAAAAGACAGGCTGGACTTATACATCAATTATTTAAAGACTCTGCTCTTGCCCCCTCTTCATCTGAACCTTTATCAACTCCACAACATTCCAACATAATACTCCACTCTTTCCTCCTCTAGTTCTCTTCAAGGAATAGCTCTTGTCTGCCCCAATCACCTCAATCAGTCTCTGCGTAATATCTGCTACTGAAGGTAACATTTCTGTTATAAAATCCAGATACCAAATAAAAGGCAGCTTAAAAGGGCTGAATAACATGTGTTGCAGAAGAGAGTCTCCTGAACAATATGCTTGTAGACTTGTAGTACCAAGGTCCCAGACTGAGAAAAGGTAGAAGAAAGAAAAACCCTTCTGGGGAAATCTGTTTTGCCACAACATGCTATAGTGCTAGAAGTTTATGTCTGTCGAACGGTAGAACAGATGAATTTATGCAAAAATATTTTGACAGCAGACATCAACTTTACCTCAAGAATCTATAAGTTACTGGATGCTGGAGAGTTATTCTGGCTAAGTATCACCATAAGTGGGCTGTTCCTTTAATCTTCATGCTTGCTTTCAGTCATTGTTGGACACAACACTGTGACTTATTCCATTCTTGAGCAAGTCCCTTGGACAGCCATGACCCTGTCAGGTGTGCTGCTCTATACTGCAGTGTTCAATTTAGGAGCAGAGTATCCCCTGAGACTGGCTAACAGAAGACATTTGTGAAAGCTTGGATAAAGTGCTTGATATTCTGAAAGCTCTAGGATTTGATTATCAATAAGATGGAAGTGATGTGATGTTATAAGAGGAGACAAATAACTATCAGCTGCTTGAATATTTTGTTTGCTACAAAATACTGGCATTAAGGTACTGTTATATTTTTAAAGGCATAATTATTTCTTGTTTTCCCTGCTTCCCTTCACTGTCACTCAAGTTCAGATTTCTTTGTGATTACTGAGTGGGGTTCAAGCTGACATATGCTAATGACTGCCAAAAGTTCAACCCAGCCACTTCTGCTGCCCTTCAAGGTCTTGGAACACCTGTGTAAATCCTTCTATTTACTCAATACAAAACTCCCATTAGGGATCTTTCAGAGGAAATCTGCAAGAGTCTATAAATATTTACAATAATTTTATACTCCCAAAATGTGACCCACTGATTTAATATAGTAGATTAATGTATCAAATCGAAAGGCAGCAATTAAGATAGTTTTGTAAAACAACTTTTCTTCAAAACAGTTTTGAGCCTCTCTTCCAAATTCTTCCAGTGAAAGTTTGAATTGCAGACAATTTATTTTATAACAGAAACTTTAGGAAACACTCAACTACTGTGGCAAGGCACTGTACAGCAACTATTAATACAAGTAAATTAAAAGGTTGAAACCTGAACAGATAACACAACAGACAGACATTTAATATGAGCTAATATCTCTACTATTAGATATATTCACAGGAACACAAGTTAATTAAAAACCTAAAAATATCACAACCAAATCTTATTTAATACATTGTCATTAGCTGCAAGTACAGAAATTCCCTGACCTTAGAAGTAACCTTTCCAAGGTCTATTTTTCTTATGTAACAGACTAACACAAGGGAGCTAAACTATGTGTACAGAAATTTACTCTTGACATGGAATTCAGCCAGCAAAAACTAATCTACCAGTATTCAAACACCTGTAAAAGCACTGAACACCCTGAAAACTATGGATTACAGAAAAGCAAAAGTAGTTCTGCATAAAGAGAAATTTACTTACGTATTTATCCTAGAATGTTCCTAACTCTTTATAATAAACGTAGTATTCTATAAATACTCTTGTCACAACAAAAACAAAAATCAAGTCTTTGAAGAGTCCCATGCAAATACTGATTTGCACTGCAATAGTGCTTGGTAAAGACTTTAGGACTTTCTAACTTAGCTTAGAAAGTCACGTGAAATGAAGCAGCAGATAACCAATAGCCAGATAAGCCACCACAATGACAAATCCTCATCCATAAAACATAACTCTGGTAAGTCACAACATTATTAGAAAGAGTACTTAAAAGACATTTGAAACATCTTTTAAAGAAATCAGTCAGTTAAAAGGCTCTTGTGAAAAAATATGACTAAATTAAGTTTTTCTTCTGCATCTACCAGGAGTTTGCATAAATTGTATCAGCTAAACACCTCCCTTTTCCTTTACATTTCAAAATCCCAACAACAGGAAAATAACAGGAAAGAAAATCCCAGTTTAAATTAAAGAAAACATCCAAAACCTACAAAAACCCAAACCCCACAAACAACAAACCCCCACACTGAAACACATTGACATTAATGGTACATGTATTCCTTTAGAAAACACTCGCTCCTTTTTGTGCAAGCATGACCTTAGCAATGCAATGGAGCTGCTAAGGAGCTGCAGCACCTTCCAAGAACAAACTAGAAGGGCTCAGGCACCACATAATCCAGGAAACTGCATGCAGACTGTAAATCTCTACGTAAACCTTCATGAAACTAAAAGGTTTGGAAACATACTCTCATGTGCCCAACTGAATCTTGTGTACCTTGTGGATCAGCTGTCTGCAAAAACATGGGGAGAATATATACCAAACTTCTTATGATTTCTCCTTTTTAAATAAACGTATTTGCATTTTTGGTTTAGGTACGCCCATTTAACAAAGAAAAGGTTTTGACAAACTGACACAGGTCAAGAATTACTTAAAAAAATAAAATTGAACTTGAAATTGGACAGATAAAAAAAACAAAGACTCATGGTTGAAATAAATTCCAGATACTTTAATGTTTCCAAATCAAGTCCTAATGAAAAAAATAATCAACCAACAAAAATATAATTAAATGCCTCATTTTACAGTCTATTTGAATTTAATCCTTTGAGATTTCTGTTTCAAAGGATTTGTTTTCACCTATTATTACGTAACTCCAAGTTTATATCTATTTAAGAACAGCAAATAGGGGTAGGAAATTATGCTTTGCATAAATTAACTGTTCTGTGAGAAACAATGCAAAATGTCATTAAACATGGGTAAATACAAAAAGGAGAAGTTTTATCTTACAGAGTAATTAATAACTTGTGTGTTTCAATTTGATTCAAAAACTTTTTTAGAAATTCAAGTGCAGTGAAGTGAAACCTGTAATGTACATTTTTAAACTATTTTATCACACTTTCTCTACTATTGAGGACAAAAAAAAATACAAGCACTTACCAGATTTATGCTGCTAGTAGGAGACCCATTAAAAGATTCTGGAAGCAATGAGGAAAATGAAAGGAAAAACCAGGTTAGAAGATTTTCCCCCATTGTAGGGCCACACATAAATAAAAATGCGCCCACAAAACATTATGGAAAATGAAAGAGAACTGTGGTACTGGGCAAAATGCTGCATGCAACATGCAAGTGTTTCAAATTTCCAGCAAGGACACTTAAAGAAACATAAGGTTATAAAGATTCTACATAAATACTTCAACATTTTTTTAAATTTATATCCCCACATGGTACTCCTTTGTTAAGGAGCTAGTTAAACAGTAAAAACAATTTCCACTGGATTTGTACTTCAGTTAACAAGAACAATGATTTTATTTGCTTTTAAAAGCCACATTTCCTATGCACTTTCAATTTCTGTTTCCAGAGAGAAGTATAGTTATGTATTAAAAGAACCCAATACATTGAAGAATTTTAAATATTTTCATGAAAAAAGTAGAATGGAAGAACTGCATATTTTTAAGTGACAAACTAGTTACCAAGACCTGACAAGTATTTATGTAAGATTAATAAACTTACTGCAGTGAAATCCCTATGTGACTTTACACACAAAATCACAAGGAGGAAATGAGACACCACAGAAGTATTTAATTTCCTAAAAACAGTGTGGATAATTTTTTTATTTTCATTTTAAAACAGAGAAAAGAATGGTTCCAGGAAATACCCCTTAGAGATACAGAGCTCACCTCCTTCACCATCATCTGATCCTCTGAAACTGGGATCCTTCAGCATGTCCAGCTCAGCTAACATACGCACATACAACACGTTCTGCTTGAACGAAGGGTAGAACCTCTCATCTCGCAGCATCAACTCATACACCTTATTGAAACAAAAAATGCGAACTTCAGAAATACTTACTGCATTTTGTAATTAGTCAGACTAGTTTTCATAAATTCTACTTGAACGAGAAATACCTGTGCATACGTGTCTCTGACTTACTCTTAATGGAAAGATTATCAGAAAATAACTAATCAGACATGTACATCTAGGAAGGGAAGTGGCACAATAGCTGTAAATGCTTCTGTCCTCTGCTCTGAACCCTTCCAATTGCAGTATAAACCTATTTGGTCTTTATCCATTTTATAAAAGGTTATCTCAGTCCCTCCTGGTGGATAAACTAAAAATGTAGACCTGCAAACACTTAGGGCAAGAGGTGAGAAGAGGGACAGAAGGGGAGGGAAGACACCATATGTGTCTATTCTGAAAATTTCTGGTTTAGCCAATACAATATAGCCATACCTCACAAAGATTTAACCACACCACCTTAAACAATTTACCTTCACAGCATATACACAAGTATCTATACAGAGCAGGAATTAATTCATAATGTTTGGCTACTCATATGAACTCTAGAATATTTTCATTTTTTTTTCCATGGACCACTGTTCAAATACTATCATCTAGTAAGAATAGAAAAAAACCCAATCCATCCAGGTTTTAGGAAGTTCAATTCTTTTGTAACAGATGGGAAATTTATGCTCTTCAAGAGAATTCACCAGCAAGGCTCAGATTTCACAAGGTGCTTTGATTAGTCTTAAATGGGAGTCCCACATACAATAGCGTGATTCTAAATTCAACAGCTCATATCACTAATTTATAGCATGAATGACAGCATTGAAGTAAGGATCTAAAATAAAAACATTTCAGACTGGGTATGTAAGTTAATGCCAGAATATTAATCATTCACTTTTCCTTTTTTAACACATATATTAGACTTGAACGATAAAGCCTACATATGTATGTAGTAAATACACTGGGGGTTTTTTTCAGTACTTGCTACTTCTGAGTGCTTCAATGGGCAAGTCTGCAGAAACAGATGAGTCAAACTAATTTCTGGGAACAGCTATAGGATTCAAGATGGGACCATTACATTCATCTTTAAAAAAGTAAAACTGAACAAAAACTGTATGTCTTAGTCCAATCATGACATTTTTCTTAAATTGGTGCATTAACACAAATAAAAATATGAAAATTCTAAACTGTGTTTCATACTTAGATTCACCTACTCCTTCTGTCTACTGCTTTGAAAACCATGGGCTAATGAATGGAAAAGCAAAAGTTGATAATTTTTAAAGAGTGTGATTTTCATAGGACAGAAAAATGGTTACACAGCTTTTAGAGTTTAGATATTTGATTTCTTTTCAAGCATCTATAGTTATGTTTTATACTCTATAGCATTAAGAGTTCTTATGAAATAAAGGACGAATAGAGTATACCTTTCTCTGAATGTCATCAAAGATTTCAGGTGTTGGATCCTCATGGTTCAGTGTTTCTGCAAGTTTTGCTACTAAGTTGTCATCAATAGTAACTCTTGGAGATGCCTGTCATAGAGATCTAAATCAACTTTTGCAGCATAAAAATAAGAAAGTTCTACTTTATCAAATAAAATCCAATACAATGCTGCAACTCTCTAAGTAAACTAAATTTCTTTTTCACAAGTATCTCTGTAACTGTCTAGAACATATGACAGGAGTCAGATCCCATCCACCCCCAAAATTAAGTTCAGAGTTTGTATTAAAACCTGGAAGTTTCACTATTAAGCACTAGGAATTGCCTCCAAAACAATTTATACATACATTTTGAAGTAGTACCTAAATCAGATTTACTCAGACTTTTATTCATGAAAAAGATTAAGATTCACAAATCAAGAACAAGCCAATAAAAAAGTAGCAGGATGAAGTTCTGAAACATCTGAGGAAAGGCTAACAGTTTGTCAACTGCCCATTTCTGAGTGAGAGGTGATTTTTATGCACACACAAATTCAGAACAAAGGAGCTTTGCCAATACAAGTTGATGAGCAGTTTCTTCCACAGAGGAATCCTTACTGCCTATTGAAAGATACCCAATGGTGATATTTGAGCAATTTACACAGACAATTGTAGAGAGGCACAGGAAGCTATTTCATTTAATAACCCAATTCAATCCAAATTTGGACAAATACACAGTTCCATTTTTTAAATAACACTTCTTAAGGGGGCAGGCAAGGGTGGAGCACAGAATAAAAGGAAGGAAAAGGACAGCATATGCAGAGAGACTTTTTTTATTCTGTCTTTACATTGTCTCCAGTTTGTGTATGCTAGAAAGCCAACTTCTGAAGAGCACAGTGCATCTGACAAGGGAGTCATTGGCAATATGAGCCTTTATAAATGAGGGGGAACACAAAAGAGGAAGACTTCCTTACTGCTTGACATGAGAGAGAGAAAATACACACACAATAGCCTAAATGTCAATATGTAAGCAACTTGTACTACATAACAACCGTTTTATATTAACTTAGCCATAACTATATCAAAAAGTATCAGGACAAAGAATAAACAAATTGCAGAATGAAGTTATTCCTACCTTTTCTGATAAATATTGCTCATAAACTCCAAATGCAGCTGCTCTTAATAGACCCTTGGTCTGATTAGTCTGATGTTTTCCATCTTTCTGCCGACTTTGAAGTACCTCCAGTTGTTGCTGTGCTGTAACCCTGTATCCTTCCACTGTCATCCAGAAAAACAGATGTGCTTGGCCACCAGTTTGCTGCATGTAATCTACAGAAAACAGACACCACATGACCTTAGTTACTGTTGTGCATCTTGGAATAGGAATTGTCTATGATGTTGACTCCATATGGAATACCAGGATCTAGTTACACATCTGGAATACTTGCCATATAGAGTCAATTAAAAAATAGATATGTATATTGGTGAAAAGTATGTCTATATATGTATACATATTTACATATTGGTGACAATCAGTAAAAAAAACCTGAGAGCAAAGTCTAGGAACTAAGCACTGAATCCTCAAATGCACATGTAAAAAGTGAATCCATTTTTACCATGTGAATATAAGGTTTGTACAGCATGATACAAATGGAGACAAAGTTCAAACTGAATTTCTAAAAAACAGGTTCATAGAATCAGGGGATCATTTATATTGGAAAAGATCTTCAAGAGTGCCAATCTAATACTCTCAAGTCCATCACTAAACCACATTCCTAAGCCCCACATCTACATGTCTTTGAAACACCTCCAGGGATGGTGACTCAGCCACTTTCTGGGCAGCCTGTCAAGCCAATGCTTCACCCTTTTGGTGAAGAACTATTTCCTAATAGCCAATCTAAACCTCACGTGGCACATCTTGAGGCAATTTCCTCTCACCCTGCTGCTAACTCTGCTAGCTGCCTAGGAGAAGAGAGCAGCCCTCTCCTCACTACAGCCTCCTTTCAGGCAGTTGTAGGGAGTGATAAGGTCCTCCCTGAGTGTCCTTTTCTCTAACCTAAGAAACCCCAGTTTCCTGGGACATCCCACACAAGCCTTATGCTCCAAACCCTTCCCCAGCTTCGTTGCCCTTCTCTGGACATGCTCCAGCACCTTAATGTCTTTCTTGTAGTGAAGGTCAGAATCTGAGGTGTGACCTCACCAGTACAGGGGAGCAATCACCACCCTAATCCTGCTGGCCACACCATTGCTGATCCAAACAAGGATACCACTGGCCTTCTTGGTCACCTGGACTCACTCCTGGTTCATGTTCAGCTGCTGTCAACCAGCACCCCCAGGTGCTTTTCTGCCAGGCAGTTTTCCAGCCACTCTGCTCCCAGCCTGCAGCACTGCCTGGGGTCGACACAAGTGCAGGACTTGGCATTTGGCTTTATTGAATCTCATACAAATGATCTCGGACCATAAATTCAGCCTTCTTCCCACTAGAGAGCCTTCCTGCCCTTCAGCAGATGAACACTCCTGCCCAACTTAAGTGTCATCTGCAAACTGACTGAGGGTGCTCATTTTATGCCCAAGATTATCACATCACCCTGTCTGCAAACAACATGTTCAGACAGGTGCCTTTGTAGATTGGCTGCCTCACCAACTCTGTCAGGAAGTACCTTCCATGCACTCCAGGAACTTCCTGTTTCCATCTACTGCATTAAAAGGATTATAACCACCAACAAAACTGATGGATATTCTTAGTACTGACATTTAGCAATTCCAAGTAGACAGTCCTGTGAGTTAGCATATTCTTTATAAATAAAACACATCAGATAAATTAACACTTACCCATAAAAAACTGTAGTGCAACATTGTCTACCAGAATATGGTCCAGAGGGACTGTGCAAAGTTTTCCAAAGTTTGCTGCCAGTTTCACAGTATCTATTTCCTGTAAGACACAGTTCAGTGTGTTCATAGGCTTTTTTTTAAACTAACTTTTAAAACTTCTACTTACTACAAAGCATATATGTTAAAAAAATTATATGCAATAAAGTAGCAGCTCAATGATTAGCTATTTTCATGACCACTAGTAAATGAAGGTCTAGATTAGAAGGTCATGTTTTCTTAATTATTTGCTTTCAAAATAGCTGCAGCTGTTCTGCTACATGGTAAGCTGGATTTTAATACTGCTGTTCATGTAATACTCTACAGGTCAAATTAACCCCAAATACCTCATCAGCAGTGACAGTAGCAGAAAATTAATTAACAAGAATTAACGTCAGCATTTGATGGGCTGCAGGTCACCACAACTTAAATTCATCTCTGTCACATTTTCTTCTACTTATATGACACTTCTTGCTATTACAGCAATAATAGCATGAGAGAAAGCAATACTTTCAGGTCGAGCTATAGAATGCTTAATTATTTTAATAGTCAATACATGCAGAATATAACATTATCTTGGAACCACATCCAAATTAAGAGAGTCAAGAAACTAAGTAAAGTCAAACATACCACTCCTATCAACCCTTAATTATAAAACAAGCAAAACGAACAACTCGTCAGTCATTTGCAACCTCGCTCTTTTGAAACTAAAAAAAATTTAAAACACTTACTTTTCCTGACTGCAACCTCTGAATTCTTGAATCACATACTTTAATAACATATAATAAACTGTTTATTTGATTTTTTATGGTGTTGATATCTGCAAGCAAAAACAAAGACAATTAAGCAATGCAGATGACTAAATATAGTCTAGGGGTTTTTTTCAGTTTAAATACCTTGCTAATGAAAATTAACAAGAAGAAATATCTTTCTTTTCCCTTTTTCAGATTAACGGTTAACTGACTACCATTAATACCTTAAATATTACTGAAATCCAGAACCACCAGTCAGGCAGTTTTGATTTAACAGAAATACACTTAGCTAACCAAATTCTCTGTACTTACAAAAAGGAATCAAACACACACCAACCAACAAAACAATTATGAAAATGAAAACACAAGTTTTATCACTTTTTATGCAATTTTTTAAAAATAAAATACTTGGTACTATGTTGCATCAGAGCTTTTATTTTTAATTGTTGCAATATTCTACAGAGATCATGCTTCTAAGTGCCCTACATATTTTGCAAAACAACGCAGCACTAACCATCTCCTGCTGTATCTAGAGATCGAAGATATTGCAATTCTTCACTTGCTTTATCTTTCACAGCTTCCAACTCGCCTATATTATCACTTAATTTAATAATATTCATAAAGGCCTCATAGTTACAGTTGGAATCACGAATCTGAAACACAAAGTTTTACAGTGTAAGTAATGCAAAACAGCTATAAGTACAAGACATGATTCTTCTTTAAGTGAATTAGTTTGATACAGCACTGCCAAGTGGCATTTTGATAGTTCTTTGACACGTCTAAATTTTCCTTTTGGTACTGAAATTTTACATGGACTAGAACAGAAAAAGCATGCATAGTCAAAAATTATTTCACACCATCACTTTCTGTTTTCAAGAAGTACAACACAGACACATGGAAAGTCCATCAACCTCCTTAATGAAGATCTCCAAAATCCAATCCACCATCTTTTGCTATTATCTCCTTAGCTAAATAGGCAGAAAATGGTGAGACCACTGAAAGGGTTCACCTTTACCAAGATCCCTGGCAAGTACACATGCCCCCAGAGTAATGGCTTCTTAAGATACAGAACTACAAAAATAATTAAAACATTCTACCATGTAACCATAACCTACTAAGGGAAAAACAAATCTACATGACTCCTCTCTGGAACCCTAATTCAGATACCCTGGCAAATACTATTAAGCTATTTAAATACATACAATTTTACCATTAGCATAGAATGAACCTGTATTGGCATAGAATGAACCTGCTCTAGGGACTCAAAGGAATTTGTGCAAGTGAAAGAAGCCTGCTGTGGTGCCAAGATCACTGGAAACTGTGCTGTGAATGCAGCATGAAGATCAGGGAAAGGTTGGCTGCTTTACAACACGTGCACACAGGTGCTGAAGGAAAAGACAGCGTTAGAACTCAATCATCTGAAGCTAAAAAAGTCACTTCACCCACATCTCTTATAAATGCTCACTTTGATATGGAAATGTAATACTTGGTCTGTACTGAAGAAGTGCATTGACATGAGCTGCACGAAGCAGAAAGAATGAAGACTGGATAACATTGATCAAAGTTAATGGGAAAATCTCCCTAAAAATCTGCTTTTAAAAGTAATAGTATAAGCAGTGCTTGAACTTAAAACATTTTGTAAATTTGTGAATTTCACAGTGAAGACAGAAGTTTGAATTAACTTCTGATTTTGTATTGAATCTTTGTATTTTATTGCAACAGAAGTAGTATTGGACTGTAGTACGCCTGGAATTAAACTTCTCTTTTCCAGAAACTGATCTTTGCATTCAAGTGTGACTTTATGTCAAAGGTTCCAAAAGGAGCCAGGATTTATTTCAGTCATCTCTACTTCTGACCTTAATTTCTGCAACAATCTCCATTTCATATGACTTGTATAAAACTTCTTCCTTATCTTTTGCCCAGCACATTTGCTTCTTCACCTCAGAAAGCAATTTTGAAAATTAGTTATTTGGGATATCACTATCATAACAGCAAGCTTTATAAAAAGCTCAGAATCCTATCTCTGGACGCAGCCGGGGGCAGTGTTCAGTAAATAAAGAATGAGGCCAAGTTACAAATAAAGAACACACGTAGGAGGAAAGGGGAATAGAAAATTGAAAATTCTGGTCCAGATGAGCACTATTTTTTCTTACTAAAGCTAGGTTCCTGTAGAATGTGTGCAAATTTTTACATGAAATGAAGGAGGCTGTAGTGAGGGAAACACTGTACATATACCCTTGAAGCCATTCCATAATTCCATACATAAGAAGAACTTTGAAATGCAAGGGTGTTTTCACAGAATTTGAATGTACACTATAAGACGAAAATATATGAATAAAAAGGGAGAACTTGGGGGAAAAAAATTAAACTTGATTCATGAACTATACAGGATAATAATGTATAAGAGTAAGTTTTAACTTGCTTTGCAAGTCAAAGAATCAAGATTGTTAATTAAAGTACAAATATTCTATTTATGTTAGCTTTACTATCTAATACTACTTTAAAAGGTTTAGGGGCTTTTCTTGCAGGTACATTAGAGAATTATCAAAGTTTAGAAATTGTTTCTGCCCATTCCATTGAATTATTTAGGGTTAACACAAACAGTCCTAGAATAACTGCCCTGAAATTCCTTAGCAGAAAATAAATGTTTCTTAGTTTTCATTCTTAAGGCCTCTTAAGCTTGAAAGGCCAAACTGCAAACACAGTCAGGGGAAAACACCTCCACATGTACTGCCATGCTTCCCAAACAGCCAAGCAGAACAGTCAGAGGATTGAACTTTACATTTTGCAATACATTAGTCCTCAGTCAGGGAACTTCTGCTGAACAATCAAAATGAAGAGTGCAGATATATAGACTCCATGTGTATGTATGTATAAAATTAAATATAGCAGCCCTAAGTTCATTATCTCTGCCAATATATCAATTGGTAACGTTTATACCAGACACCTATCCATCGTGATTATAGGGAATACAAGTAAAGCTTTATATGAAAGTGTTCTGGAAATACAAATTATTTAAAACATTTCATATCTTACCATCCATATGACATACTGATTAATATAATCAGGATCACTGAGCTGGTTTATTAACGGAAGAAGAATTCCTCGGGAGAGGATTTCCTAAAAAACAAAGGATTTTTATATCATCATTTTATACATTTATTCATAAAGCTAGTATAACTGCAACAATTTAAACATCACTGTGTAGAGCTTAAAACACAAAAGTGTAATTACAGAAAACATTTAAGAGGCACTACCATATTTTCCTCCAATTAACACTACAAATATAATTTGCAACTGCAAGAAATTACAAGAAAAGCCTCCTCAAGAAAAAACAACCCCAAAATAAACAACATCCACTTTCTCATGCTTTTGTAATGATGGAGCTAAAATAACCTTCAAAAACATCTCAGACAAACTGTTCTCTGCTATTAAATACTTATCAAGACTCTACTGCTTTAAAATACCCTCATATTAAATTAGTTCAATTTTAGAAAATAAGACCAGCAGTTGAAAAAATTTTTATGACATTAAACCAAAGAATTGGAATGGCTTTTAGAGTCTGTACTTACCCTGACAAAGTATCGCATGATCTTGTTCTGGAAGTCTCCAGGAGGTAGCAATATATACAGTAAAACCTCACACAGATCCCTTAGGAATCCTAGAGAATGAAAACAAAAACCCCTCAGCACAATTTTACATTATGGTACTTCACATCTTACCTGACATCACCAAATGCCATAGATAAATCCTTAATTCTGAGTTCAAACATACAATCATGTATCTCTTACATTCCAAGTATTACAGTAACACCTTTGAGATGGAATATAAGCATCACTAATGAGAAAGATCTACCTCAAACCCAAGACAACAAAAGCCACATTGCAAGATTAAAAAGAACCCCAACAACCTAACTCAAATGCATTTTCCTTACTTAACATATTCCATTTTTTTCCTCTCCAACACTTTCCCTAAAAATATAGTGCTTTTTGCAGGAAGACTACAAAATAGTGATAAGGAAGGCACATCTATGAAAAAGCAGTAAGAATCTGCAAAACCATCCCCTCCCTCCCAGGAAAAAATATTTTTATCTTAAAATTTTTCCAATGAAAGGAGGAAGACTTACATAGGTACATGCTTCATTTTAGTTATCACATTAATATGTACAAATCAGAGGAAATATACATGTATGGTAGATTGCCACACTTTGAAAGTCATATGCTAAGATTTTAATGCATTTCATATTGTGAACACAAATGTTAGTATTTTAATTTAGTTTCCCATACTAAAAGATTTACTCAGAAGATAATATTGAGAGACCTTCTTCATCTTTGGGAGAAGTGCAGACTAGATCACGACAGACTTCTTTTTCCATTTCAACTTCAACCTCAAAGAATGTATCTACAAGTTCCTCAGCTTGATCTATGCAAAAGAAAATTTAAAAAGCATGTTTTTGTCAAGACTAGAAACTTGAGAGAGAACTTGAATTATAAAATAAAGCAAACTATATTTCACACACATAAGATACCAGCCTACTTAGACTCAAATAAAAAACTACTTCAGATTACCTTTCATCTGATTGCCTTTCTCTGCTATCCTTTGCTGAGCTTTTCTGAAAACTCGAAGATGAGTGCCAAAGTCATCAACAAGTCGTGTAGTGAAATAAGGCTGCCAGTCTGTTTCCTTTGACCTATTAGTAAAGGACATCCATGGAAAGTAATTATTTTATTGTGAACACAAAGAACAATAATAAATTCTTACCTCTCATTCCTTCCTGCCAAGAACCACACTGATAGTAAACATGGAAAAGCAAAGAAATAAATCAGTCTCCTAATTGCCTATCCACTGAAAACCTAAATATTGTAAAATACCACTCCTGAATCACATTAATATTTATGTTTGATTTAGTTGAAAGTCAACATTTGCATCTAGAACGGTGTTCTGATTTGTGACACTGTCAAGTATCTGTGAGAAGTCCTGATATAAACAGTTCAAAACATAAAACTAAAATACTCTCCAGACCTTTTTCAGCCATACTTTCTATAATTTTGGAAGGCATTTAATCAAAATAATTTTCTTCTGAACTTGCAGAATATGTACCAGTGAGAAAACACACACTTGAAACTAAACACAATCTAATCTTATCAATAATTAATTCCACAGCTTATATGATGTTCTTAGCATACTCTTCTGACAACACAAATAGGTTTAGATCAGAAAATAGTCACTGTAAGATTTACATAAAACTACTTCCTTAGTGGTGTGAAAAGGATAGAGGCATTTTTATGATATCTGTGCCTTACTAGGCAACCTAACAATCTGATTGTGCATTATAGGTTTAATGAACTTTGATGCCAGTAATAGCTCTTACACCATACTAAATATTTTATTGCCTGAACTCTCAAGATGTTATAACAGGAATCCTTCTACAACACTTCTTTTTTTGCCTTTATTCCCTTACCTACTCTTTCTTTTCTTAAGGAGAAAGAGATAAGGAACTCTGGAAGAGAGGGAAGACTACTGCAAAATCTAGACATGTAAATAAGAAGCAGAGCTGTCCCAAAGGGCCATTGATCAAACAATCCAGATCCCCCATCTGCACAAGACAGAACCACACAAAACCTCTGGATGGCAGCCTTACCACAGGCTCCCAAAGCTGCAGCTGTCAGGGAATACTCAATTCCCACTGTATTCATTCTCCCCAGCAGCTGACAGGCTGTATGGAACTACAGGTGATGGTACTAACCTAAACCGTTTCAGCTATGTCCAACTACAGGCATTATAAATACACTACATTATTTTTTCTGCAGAAGAACTGCTGCAGGCCTGTGAAATTGATTTGCTTTCTACAGCAGAACACAACTGCACGGGAAATGTGCCTATTTCTGAAGAGCTATAGTACTGTAGGAAAGAAAAATAAACTTGCAAGAATTTGACCTACTTTGACACAAACTCAGTGCTCAACACTGTCCAATGAAATGGACAGTGCCAAACAGACAAAAACACTGAAGCTGGGGAGTCAGGTCCATTTCATGCATAAGTTTGGTTGTTGTAACAGTTTATTTAGCATCATTTTCACCATTTCAATACTGTTTTCTAGGATTTTTATTATTTTACTATATCATATATTATTATATTTATAATTATATTTATATTATAATTATTTTTCCGAGTATTAAACCCAGCTCTCCATCTTTGACCCCCACCATCAGAAAACCACACTAACCTACATTGTCAAGTCAACAGAGGGAGGTTATAACACCTTAAAATTGCTAAGAAGTTACTTATATTTAGGTGACCCACAAACTCTTTTGCAGAGAAAGCACAGTGGGATAAACACCAGAAATAAAAACTGAATAAACAAGTATATGGATATAAAGGCATGTGGCATCTGGACTAAGAAATACTCAGCCATACTCAAGAAGTGAATTTCCAAGACAAGTTGCTAATCAAGTAGCAGGAAAGCAGGGAACAGCAGCAGAAATAAGGGGAATTAACAAACTATCCATTTGTCCTCAATCAATCCTGTTTTTAAAAAAAAGTTTGCATATGTGACATTCTATTTCACTTCCCAGACTCCTATTCTTTCTAAAATACCCATTGTTCTTACATATGGAAGAGTCATACTGCTTCTAAAAATTATCTGAGGTGATACGTATGTTGAATTCAGACTTTTGGACTGAATTCAGACTTACCTTGGGAGTGGCCCTACTCTTTACATGAAGAATACAAAGAAGTAATGATTCACAAACTTAATACTTAAGTTGTAAAAAAGAAAAAAATAAAAGCAGTTCAGTGATTTTAGACAATCTACATTTTGAAATGGCCATTTTGCAAAAGATTATGACTTCAAACGCTGCCATCTCCATTAGTTCCCTAGGGGACCTACAAAAGATCGTATTTCTTATATTAAAATCTTAAATTTTTATATGTTCTTTCTGTAAAATGCAGTGAACTATTCTAGCAGATAAACCTAACCACTTACCTACTACCATACAACCCACAGTATTTTGATGTAAGTAAAAACAAATCTTACCTGGCAGAAAACTGAACAAGTGCATACTGAAGAGCCTGCCTAATTTCCAGAAGAAAGGATTCATCATCACTTAGTGTGTAATACCAATACTGCACATAGTCTCTCAGGGAAAACTGGATTACCTGAAAATTGAAAAAAAAAAGAGCTAATGAAAAAGGACAAAAGAAATATACAACAGTTTTTTGTGCCAGATAATACAGTAGTAGTTTTTCTAAAGGGTTACCAGAGTGAACAATACTCCTTTTCCATTATGAAACTGGGAGTGAAACCGTAAAATTCACACACAAACTTGTTTTCAGACTGGTTTGCACACATTGTTTTTATCACCACTACACTGTGAAAATGAAATATACTGAAAACATACTCAAATATTGCCCAATATCCTGGCCCATCTCCCATGGGTTTTTCATTTATCACTCATATATGGTAAAATTTTGAAATTCTATTTGTCACTCAACTACTTCTGCATTACACAGTCAATACTTGCAAAGTAATAAAGTAAAAAAGAAATAGTCCTGGTTAGAACTTACCTGTTGTAAAGGCTCATCAATTATATTTGCACCTGTCAGTCTTCTGTCAATCTTAATAGGTCTGGCTTCACGTTTCATTTCTTCTATGCACTTGAAAAAGATTGGGAAATGTAACTTTGTAGGGTTGAGCTCTAATTAAAAAACAGCTCTACTGCTTATGATATATATGTATACACCCAGTAGTGACTTTATATATTTTCTATAGTATTATAATTTATAGAGAAGATATAATCATAGAATCAAACAATTATTTGGGTTGGAAGGTCTAGTTCAAGCCCCCTGCAATGATCAGGGACATCCTGAGCTACATCAGGTTGCTCAGAGCCCTGTTCAACCTGACCTGGAATGTTTCCAGGAACAGGGCCACCACTTCTCTTGGCAGCAATATTTTCTGTATTTTTCTCTATATAGTACATAATGACAACAAACTCCTGAAAACATACTTCTTGCTAAATATAAAGGAGCAAGCGTTTGCTAAATTACTAAATCAGAAGGAAATAAAACCCAAATAGTTAGGAAAGGAGGGAAGGGGGAGACACAACAACAGCACAAGGTAGTTTTTGTGCAAGGCTCCAGGTTCCCCTCCTGCTTGAACTTGACTGTACAATCTCAGGCAGATAATTTTCAGTTGGGTTTTTGGTTTCTTTATCCACCTCAGTTTATTCTATATGCCAGAAGAGAAATTACATTTTTTGTACCATTGCTACTCAACAGATGAGCCTTTGGAAAGTAATTGATGAGGAGGGAAAGAAATTACTTTATAGAAGGATTTGCATCTCAAAGCAGTTAAGTCCAAGAATGACCTCATCAGAGCTGACTTTTGGAAAGTGACATACTGAAGAAGAACTCCCTTTATCAGTGCTTCTCTCAAGTGGACTAATGTAGTGTCTTTCTACAAAATTTCAATGCAATCAGCAATAAACTCCTCTATTTTCACAGAAATAACAACCCAACAACTTACACAATAGTTCAAATAAACCAGAAATTTCTTTGATCTAGAGAGAAAGTTATGACTATATTGGAAAAAAAAAGAAGAACTGCCAAAACCATAAATGAAGGAATTATAAACCATATATCCAAGGTTTTTATTCTATGTGAATAAAACTCACCCTAAGTATCTCTCATTCAAATCAGTTAACGATGAATGGCAGTGAAATACCTGAGGCCAGAAAAAAAATCATCCTCCTATTTAAGCAACCCTGTATCACAACACAGAAATACTTTGTTGCAAAATTCTGTATATTTTTTAACTTTCAAGCCAAGCGGACCTTCAATGCTACTTTAATACAAATTTGAATGGGTAACATTCAAACAATTAGCATATTCCACCAATGAATTTGCACTAATCCGCTAATGAATTTGCCAAGTATTTTTGTGTTGATTGTGTCAAAACCACCAAAATTATACAGGGCCAAATAATTAAACATTTTTACTAAGCACAGCATAGTACAAATTACCAGACAAAACTGTCAAAATAATCTTGAAGGACTGCATGCATAAAGCCACATTTGGAAAACAGAGAGGAAAATAGAGCAGCAAAAACAGCAGCAGGCACAAGAAAAAGAGGGACACAGAGAATATTCAAGATTACATGATAAAAAATTTCAATGTTCATATGCTCACAGGATCCAGGTTTTGACCTAGATTTCAGGAATTCATCTTGTCCAACCTTCTGTTCAAAGCAGAGCCAACTACAAGGTTAGACCATTTTTCATATTCTTTATCTCCAGTGAAATCTTTATGTGCCTGCAGTATAGTTTAATTTGCTTTTGAGATGTCTAAATTTTAGAGTATGTGCTTTTATTCCATTATAGGTACAACAGCTGACTCTAGTCTCACTTGGAAAGCACTTTTGGTTTTACTTCTGCCTTCCAGATGCTGACACAGAAGACAGACTTAAAGGAAGGACCCAACTCACATGACAACTGTCCCATTTGACTGTCACTTCACTCACAATTAGTCTGATGCACTCTACCAGTATTAAATCATTGGTCAGGAAAAATGGGTATCGCTTGTTATTATTACATTTGACACCTCTCCTTGCTTCATTTTAAGCAGGGAGGAATCACCTGGGAGGAACACAAGACATAGACTCCACAAAATGAGATGCAGCACAAACAAATCCAGCTCCACAAGCATCTAACTGCACTGACTGAGTTATTTCAGACTTTTGTTTCACTGCACTAATGCATATTTTTGAAGCTCTCTTTGACACTGTTAGCTAACAGTCAAATATGAAATATGCCTCATTTAGACTGCCCTAATATTTCCTCAATTGCAGGGTTTCATGAGCGGACAAGACATAGGGGATTTACACATCTGCCTCAAATCTGTGACATAGGATATGACCCACTGACTCAAAGAGACTCCAAGACTATTTAGGGATCCAACATACAACTACTGTTTGTAAGTTGTTATCACTGTTTTCTTACTGTACTTTGGCAACATTGTACCAAGCCTACTCTTGGTCTTTTGGGTAAAGCTTAGAGACATCAACTAGCATAACCAAACATTTCATACTTCTGTTGAAGTTGGGGTGAAATTATAATTTCAAGTGAAAGTAGCATTCAAGTTAACAGTTCAGAAGGCTATAAATTTACCTTTCACTCAACATTGTTTTAATACAAGCCTACAGACAACTGTATATCATGCAGAGCCAGTTCATTATTGCATCATCCTGTAGGCTGATGACAGAGAAGTTATATGTGACTTGCAAAATGAAAAGCAAGTCTAAACCTAATTTTTAAGCCTCCCTGTTTCTATATAAACAAACAAACAAACAAACAAATCGTAGAAAGGTATACAATGTTCCATCAAATGTACCTTAAGTATTCTCCTTAACGTGAGGTATTCACTATATATTTGCTAGTAAGTATAATCTGCAGCAATCAAGGAAACCTATCAGCACCATATCTGGTGTTGTAATGTATGGTACATTCTACACATTACATCCAGCCTCAGCTTTGATGCTCTGTATTATTACTAATTTCTGTAAAATCAAGTATTTGAACATTTATCCTAGCCTAAAGAAAATCTCTAAGTACCAAAAATGCTCCAAAACTATCAACAAAACTCTGAAGAAAAGAGCATCTTATAAAGAACCAGTATCACCAGATTACTCCTCAGACTACCACAAAACAATTTCATGTTCAGGTGAATTCAGCTTGTACTTGGTTCATGGAAGAAGTATAATCTATACACACAGAAAGAATAATCTATACACACTAGAAAGAATATTCATTCTTCAAGACCACTTAGGTCCAAAATGACTTTAAACATGAAAAAAATTCAAGTTAAAAATATTATTTTCCATACAAGTCAGCAGCAATTTAATACAGAAATAGCAAATAGGAATCACAAAACAACATGTTTGGTTTTGGCTGGGACTCATCTCTACTAGCACTGCTACTGCAAGGCTTACCTACCCTTGTTAACGCTACTTTACTGCAGTGGCAAAAGAGAAAACACTATTGTAGAAGACAAACAGATTTTATTTGGTGAACAAATTCAAATAGCATTTCATAAGTCAGCTAAAAACAAATACCTTTGTATTACAAAACTTAAATCCAGAGATTAGTTGAGACAGGTCAGTTGAGGAAAGTGCTGTGTCAATAGTCCATACTCAAATCAGATGTCGAACTACTGAATTTGCAAAGAGCACACAAAAAACTCCACAAGATTTTATTCTTTGATAAAGCAACCAGTACATACATACTGAACCCAAAATACAATATGAACATAAAAAAAAGTTTCAGCATGTAGAGGAAATTTAAAAAACAGAAAAACTTCTCTAAATCTGCTCCCAAAACACAGGACATTAAGTAACAACCTATATAACAGAAGCACTAAAGTCTATATAGCACCAAGAATCTTAGCCATCCAAAATGAGGTTTCATTAACAGAACAGAAACATTAACTGACTGCTGACTTTTCTTTTTTCAGCCTTAACCTTTGTACTTTTCATCTGGAGCAGTGACCTTACTTTAAAGTTTAGGGTATACTTTCAGATTTATTTTAAAATATTAAAAGACTTAAGCAAAAAGGCCACTCACCAAACGAGCAATGAACCAGTCACAGAAAAAGTTCTGTGACTAGAAAACATAATGCTGAATCACAAGGTAAATTTCTATGTGCTACTGATAATGCTGAACATTCACCCCCTTTGACGGACATGAAGTGTAGTGAACTGACAGCTAAGAAATAACAGGATGCTTCAGTCAGAATAGCTGTGAGATTAAATTTACTATAATTAGCAATCTTTGGGTTAAAGTGTTTATTCTGACAAGTGCAAATGGATTAGACCAAGATATATCTAAACTTCTGACCTAAGAGGATGGCATTGGTTCATAAACCAGGAATTCCTAGAAATTCTACTTCCTGGCTTTTAACAACTCCTTCTGTACTAAACGGATACAGATTTATTCAGTTAGGAACCCTGAACTTGGGTCCATCAACCAAAACTATGTGTCTGTTAGGTATTCAGACAAGAACAGAGCTGAAAAGTGGATTTCACTGCTGCTCTGTATTCATCTATGCCTTTTCAGAATTTTTGCTTGGTCTTGAAGAGAGACAAAGATGACCTCTACATCCTTGAAGCACTGCAAATCCAGACTTTGTAACAGTTTGACTTAGTTAGGGAGGCAAATTTTTGATCACAATCAAAAGTGGAGAGACTACAGGTCCAGTAATGGAAGACACCTCAATAGTGACAGTAGGTCATGACAATCTTGCACAAAAAAGCAAGGAAGAGCTACTATCCCCCAAAACAAATCAAGACACACAAATAGTCTTGAAAGGAATGGTTTCGTAATTTCCTCACAGATATTAGCCACTCATATCATACTCACTTCTCACAATGAAGAAACAATACTTAAATCAAACTTTCCATAACTTACTAAAAACTTGTATTTCATAAAGGAAAAATATGTAAATTTCATTTACACATTGCAGCTGACTCAAAAGATAAAAGCAGTCTCTTTTACCTTGAGAAACGGGCACAATTCTTACATTAAAACTGATTATTTCTAACCAAGTTATAAAATCTGATCTATAAGTTAATACCAGAAAACCTTCCTTACCTTAGGGATCCCAACCGATGTACAAGGGAGAAATGAATGTTCACACTGCTCAAGGTATTTTTCTGAATTGCTTTTTCCAAATAAAAGAGTAACCACAAAACCCCTAAAATGGAAAAAGAAAGACCAGGTACAACAGCAGCCATATTTTCTCACCTCTAGAAAATATTTAACAGAAAGCTATAAAATGACAAAACATGATAATCCTCACTGTTTACTCTCATGCTTTTTCACACTGTAACATGCTGCTCAAAATAACTGACACAACCCTAAGTATGAAGCTTCCCAGTCTTGTACTGTCTGTCTTGATATATTCTTACCACACAGAAGATCTAAGTAGCATTGTCTATGCTACAGTGTGCCTGCTGTGATGGCACACTGCCTGTGCTCACAAATATCAGCACTTGGGAAAAGGGGTACATACAGAAGGTGCTTTGGTTGCTTTTATATGAAGAGTCTCCAACACTATGGAGAAATAAACTCTGTAGGTTGCTCCACTGTAGCGTAAGCCACAAAATCACATTGCAGAAATAAACTGATGCAGCAAGCATAACTAACCACTGCACATGTTTAGACATTGTGCTTACCCTTCTAGAACAGCAAGAATTTATTTACAGCTTATGACACTAGGGCACAAGAACACATGAACATCAAGCTGGCTTTACTAAGAAATAGACAAAAACGTAGTGTCTGTCCCAATTCTAGCATAAGCAGAGGATGTAGCCTTTGAAATAGCAAGCAAAGAAAAAAAGGAAATAGATTAATCTTGGGATGGCTAAACACACACAGTTTTTTACACAAATTTCAAAGCATTCCATTTAAAGGCCAGCTGACCAGCATTTGTGACCACAGGAACTTACAAAGCTATTCCAGGCCAGAAATGTGCTGAAGTAATATGTTCTTTTAATATAGATTGCTGTTGATATATGATACTCTCACTTAGAAGACTACAGAAAAAATCCTATCCAAGCTAAAATATGCCATTTAAAGGTTTTAATTCCCAAAATTAAAAAAATTCTTTTTAAGCCCCCCAGAGGCCCAGTAATTCAGAAGCTCTGTTGTTAACTCCATGAAAGAGGGAAAGAAAAAAAAGCTACTCAAATTATTATCAGTAACTTGACAAGGTATAAGAGGAGTTCACTGGAAACTCTAACTCCATTACAGCCATCCTTACCTGCCATATGACAGTAAGAAATAAAAGCAGGTTGAATTGCCCCCCTGCTGCCTGCAACTTTAAATTCATAACACCTATCAGAGTTCACAGACAAGAACTTGCTTAGAAAAATCTAAGTATTAGTTTCTCCAATGTTTTGGGTTTTTTTTAATTATTTAAGTTTGGATTTTCTTTTTATTATCTGTGACTGCTATTAGAAACTTCAGTTGTCTTTTAAAGAAAACTGTATACTCAAGTTTGGCCTAAAATCAACTTTAACTTCAAACATCTATCAGCCACTTGCTTCTCTTCTTTTATTCACAAAGAATGACGCCTTGGAAATAACTACCTATAGATTATATCTCTGTTTTCTCTCAAGTATTTTGATACTTTTAAAGTTAATGACTCATTCAAAAATACTAATACCACCAATATGGTTTAAAAAAGGCTAATCTTCTTAGATGCCTTGAAGTATTATCAGTTCTATGCTTGAAATGCTGGGAGCTGCTTCTTCTCTGGCAGAAACTAACACACTTTATTCTCTAATGTAAAATCTTGTGAGCATTAGAGAAGGATACATAGCCTGAACATTCAGGACATCTGTTAGCTAACCTGAATCTTCTAGTGTAAATGCTTATTTAATTCATCAAGAGGATTTTCAATACATGAATGAGAAATCTTCCGTAGTCTTCTGTAAATGAATAGACCAGAACAAGGAAAAGATTGAATTTTGCTTCATTTAAAAATTTTTTTTTCCAAAGATTACTGGATGGCCAGCTTTTTCAAGGGTAGATTAACAACAGAAAAAAGGAAAAAGATTAAAAAAATGGAAGACCACAGATTTATAACTTTCCCCTCAAGTCTGAAAAGTAACAGTCTCAGCTGAATGCTTTGTGAAAGTCAAAAAGCAGCTACAGAACCATTCCTGATTTGGTCAGCAGTTACAATCATTAATGGAGCCAGACAGTCACATATACATGGATGTAACTGAGTATCGATAATGATGGGATTTGATGACAGAGCAAATATTTTTAAATGGCAAAGCAATTGATTTCAAGAAATGTCAATTGAAATTTCCAAGAAATTTCAATTTTTATATTTGGCAAAACCACAATTCACATCATTTTTATTTCACCTCCTTAGGGCTGAAAGAGGGAAAGAAAAAGATATTAAACACTCCTAGCAGGAAAGGCAGATGGCAACAGACAGGCTCAGCATTCAGTTAAAGGGGTCTACACCAGTACTTGAATGAGAAGAAAAAAGAATACCACCCAGTAATACTCTACACAGGTTAAATAAAGAGTATCTATCTTTAGCCTCCTGCTTTTGAGCTCAGTTCCCTAAGTGAATGATCACTGAATGGAAAAAGACTAACATTTTCTAAATCAGTCTTGAAACAAAACAAAATGAAATACAGAGAAATTGTGATTTTGAACTTTTATTCATATATACAAATGGTTTCAGTATTCTTCCATCTACACCAAAACCAATAGTACATTTACTACAAGTCATCTGTGCAATCACAGAGTTGAATGCATATCAAAAAGAAATAATCAGCACATTATAGGAGTTAAACGGTATAAACAGATTGATTACATTGACACAGATACAGCATCACCATTGTCTTCCTGCACAGCTCACTGATATATTATTTAAGTGCTTAGGTCAATACTAAGACTGCGACCAGCTGTGAATCAGCATTTTCTTCTGTTAAAACTGCAAAATGGGACAGAAGCTGGACTTCTGGCTACTGGGAGTCAGAAAGCTTTGACACAGGCTACTTCTTTTTTGAACAAAATATAAAGACCTAAAAGACTGTGTGAAATTGGGTAAGAACTCCAAGTTTCAACAAAAAATTCAATCACAAAAAATCCATGTCCAAAATAGCTATTTTACTTCAGAGAAGTGTACAGTAAATATTATGGAAACCATTATAATCATGAACCAAAACTGAAGTTTTGTTTTCTAAATTTATATATATGATGTTATGACATATAATTGGTAATTATAAGTGCAAAAATTATGAAGTAACAATTTCTGTTTGTTTCTAACAGAAGAATGACCAAGCATTTTGTGAAACTTCAGGAGAATTAATTAAAAAAAAAAAAAAGAAGCAGGCAAGAATAATTTAGATATAAACCCATTTGGCCTAGTTAGCACTCACAGTTCTGTGTGCTGAATGTTAAAGTGTGTCATTCTGAAAAAGATTAACAGTGTAAAAAAGGGCCAGATCACAGCCACAGCCAAGATGTATATGAAATAATGAAGTGATGACATTCTACTGCAAGGGCTTAGACTTCACATCTATACATGTAAGTAAACACTCTGCTCCAACAGATGCACTACCACTAGATGAATTTATCCTTAACAAGATCAATGTTTACTGACTAGCTACAAAAATGAATCAAAGCAGCCCAGTAACCACAGCAAAGAGATATGAGAGCTGACTGGAGAATGAATGAGCTCAGGCACCACATGCAGTTTAATGGTGCCAAACTGTGGCTGACTTCAGACATGCTCTGAGACCCTGCTTTGACTGTTAGCTGTGAAAAACCAAACAACTGAAACTGTGCAAGAATGAAGGATAGTGTCTTAAGAAATTATTATATTCCATGTCATTTTCCATACTGCAAGTACTAAGGAAGTGGTAAGACAAAACAGCAAGCAGATGCAGTCTTGCCCTGTGGATAAACTCTGACTTTTGCCCTGGACAAACAGATAACAAAATATGCAAACCATACCTGTATCAAGACTTAACAAGAAAAAAGTATTTACTTCAAGTTAGTTTTACCTTAACTAAATCCTTTTTGTAACAGACTGACTATTCTGATTTCTCAGAGATGAAATACCAAGCCTAATACAGTTGAAACCCAAGTGTAGCAGTTCTAATTCTAGCTACTACACTCTATTACATTTTTATGAGATATACAGGAATATACATACATTCTGTATGGTATCAAATAAGAAGGTAAAAAGAATATCCCACTAAGCCATTCTAACTTGCCATTAAAAATGTTTTAATGGTTACAAGGCAAACATCATAATATACAATGTAATAATGGTGCTACTTCACATTTGCTCCCTTCCTGCCTATATAGATAACATATGAAAAGTCTACAGCTGATGAACTGATCTACTTGTTCAAAGTGTAGCATTATTTCCACACACACAGGACAACATCCACTCCCATTAATCAAGTGCCTTAGATAGGAAAATGAGATTGTGATAGAAAAGGACATAAGTACTTAGAAGTACCTGGGAAAAGAACTGACACTAATAAAAAGTAGGAACTGAATTTACCACTGTTTTTATGTGAGCATTTGTCCTCTAACATCCACTAAAAATAGCTAAATTGGGATTTCAATTACAAAAATTTCACTCATAAAGAGGTGCTCAAATGGTGAAACAATAATTACATACGGCCGCTTCAGATGTACAGAGCAAGCTCTTTGCTAACACACCCATAAAAATTTTACTTTCACAGCAAATTAAACAAAACACTAAGTAATATACTTACCCACCCACAAAGCAGAGGATATAAAATGCAAAGTAAAATATAGCGAAGGGTCCAAAAGTTACTAGAAAAAGCACAAGGCCAAGACTTCCCCATCCCCATATGGAAAGACTGGTCTGTAAACAAGAACATACAGAAAAGGAATAATTAATATTATATTCATACAACTTTAAGTCTCCAGAGCAATACTTGTACTTTCTATAATGCTGGATACATTTTAACCAGATACAAGCTCTGCTTGATGAAATAAAAAATTACCCTTGTTTTTAAGAGTATATTGCTATCAAATATGTCCTCCATTATATTGTGGGCCACTAAATCAGTTTAGCCAACATTAGAACATTTTTCTTTCAAATAATGTTCCTTAACTCTTATTTCAGATAAAACTATCATCCTTTAAGGTGCCACCTTTTTCTTTTCTATTCTCCTTTAGTGCATTTTTTTTTTCTTGAGATCCCTTCCTCCTCACTTCTTCCCCTATCCCCACCGTGAGAAAAGTTCTCCACCATCTCCTAGGAAAAAGCAGACTTTGTGATAGAACAGGAAGAGACAATACAGCCTTGTTTTATACATCTAAACATGTTATTTTCTACAACCAAGCAATACTGTTTCCTCCCTAGATCAAACAAGGTGCAAGACTAAAAAGGCATCTCTTTCTCCAGTCAAGCCACAGGCGGGTCAATGAGTGCACCGAATAACTGGCACAAGTATACTTCTCCACATAAATAAAAGGGAGGGAAACTTCAGCAACTGATATCTGGGCAGTGGAAGGGAGGAAAGGGTTGTTTGAAAAGCCCATGAAGAAGTTAAAGTCAGAGCACATGTGGGACTGGTGGGATTTTGGGGGTTGATGCCTGGCATAAATGCAGCAGGCAAAACTCCACCTGCACTGACAGCCACCAGGAGTACAAAAAAGCAGCAAGATTCCAGTTACAGGTTATAGTGTGAGTGCATTTACATATACTCATGTATACACATACATACTTGATCTATCTATCTATATAGACAGATGTGTGACTGTAGATACCTGTACATACATGCGTGGTAATCTAAAAAATCAAGGCAGTGAAAACCTGACTGATCTGAGCAACATCAGTTTTTAGACCATCACAATGCTGCAATGCAGTCAACAAAGCTTATATAAATTTAATTCAATCTAGTCTCTAGTTCAATATGGAAGGCATGCTTCAGCCAAGACCCAAGAGTGTGAAACACAACGATGACAAGTATTTATAGGCCACCCAAACTGTTCCAGCTCTTAGATTCTCAATATTTTTTTCTTGGTTGCTGCTGTTGTCTAATTTACACCTTTCCTAACAGTGATCAAATGACACCCTGATGGGAACTCAGAAAACTGTGTCAACAAGTAACACCAAGAAAGTATTTAAATAAACTCGTCTTGCAGTTTGACATTTAGAAAACAAACAGAGTTTGAACACCAGATTTGCAGAGAGCCCTTTTTTAGCTTTTAATATGAAGGAGCTACAACTCATTTCTCTCAAGGAACTATTTAGATTTCATCTTTTAATTTTAGGCATAGGATTAAAAAAAAAAAACTTTTTTTGAAAAAGTTTTTAAAACCCTATAGAGAATGAAAAAGAATACAAATTAAGGCTCCTATATAAAGCAGCTTTGATTATTTTTTGAGAGCAAGATCAAAAAGCAAAATCACAGCTCTGAGGAGACTTTCACAGATCTAAACTGTAATAATCAGAATTATTTAATTCTTCCTAGTTGAAAGTTTAATGGAACCTTGAGATGAAATTCTATTTTCTTCCTAGTTGAACTTTCTTAGCAGGAGATACGACTTGTACTGGCTTTGTTCTAAGTGTTTGAGGCTGGGAAAAATTAAACATACAAATATGTAGATGAGTGTAATTAAAGTGCAGCAATTAAAAAAAATGCATTGCAAGTTATTAAATTCTCTTTAAGCTGAGGAATTGCTTCAAGAGATAATATAAACCACAAAATCCACACTACTAAAATCACAACCGAGTAGAAGACTTTGTTGTTTTGTTGATTCATATTAAGTAAATGCAGTAGATAATTGTGGCCTTCCAGTACATGAAGAGAGCCCATAAGAAAGAGAGAAACTATTCACAAGGGCATGTAGTGACAGAACAAGGGGGAATGGCTTCAAACAGAGACTAAGTTTAGATTAGATATAAGGTGATGGTGAGCACTGCTGAGTGCACTCTGGGCTGAGGCTGCCCTGAGAAGCTGTGGATGCCCCAGCCCTGAGAGTGTTCAAGGCCAGGCTGGTTGGGGCTTTGAGCAACCTGGTCTAGCAGAAAGTATTCCTGCTACATGGCAGGTAGTTGGAACTACATGATCGTTAAGGTTCCTTCCAACCCAAACCATTCTAGGACACACTTTTTTTCTAGTTGAAAAAAAGAAACAAAAAACATGGCAAATGCAAGAATTAACAAAAACGTGAGATCCCATTGCACATCTACGTTCAATACAAAAAGAAGATTCAGCATATTCATACCATCAGAAATACATTTTAAAACTTCTGCAGAGCATTACAAGCATGATAAAGAAGATATGCACACAGAAGATAGCATTTAATGATGGTCTTTTTATGTCAAAAACCATTATGCTTAATCACATCATTCAAAAAAGTTTAAGTTCTAAATATGGGATAAGCACTCTAAATGACTTAATTAAACTAGATGGATGTATAGTCAGGGTTGGATGAATGCATAATTAACAAAGAAAGCTCCATAACTCTAATAAATAAAACAGTGACCTTTTGTCCTATGCTCCAGTTTTGCAATTTAGCATATGGGTACAGAGATTCAAATCTCATTTGGTATTTTAATAGGATTTCTTAAAAATCGTACAACTTGGTACACTGCAGGAAGCACAACAGATATTGGCCCAATTCTTGTATATTCTAATAAGTGCTTTATAGTCTTAAGGATTTTGAGACATTCAAAGGGATTAAATCATCAGGATGGTACCCTTTCTGCTGAGTGTAAACAAAACTTTCCCTGACTCCACACATCTTGAAGGGACTTCAGCACTAAGACTCCTAGGGAAAAAAAAATGAAAACTTAAAATTCTTTATACATAACACCCAACTGTTTTTGAATAAAATGTTGCACAAATATGACTATACAGCTGGTCAGTATGAAAATAGTTCAGGTATTCAAATTCAAACCTCACAGCTTATTTCCAAATCCTATTTATAATGTTAATTTTTAGAAGAGTTTTTAGAAGAATTTTTAGAGATTTAGTAAAGCTCTGTTAGTCATACTAAAGTTAGTTGCAGGGTGAATGCTTATCACCCTTGACACAAAGAACAAACCAGTCTTCTGAAGAAATGGTGTGATTGCTGGTGCTTAAGTCACAACTATCCAGACCCTTTAAAAGAACCCGATCTGCCCTATATTGGCAGGGCAAACTTCCAAGCTGACCCAGCACAGTGCTGTTCACTGACTTTCAAGGGATTAGGGACAGTTACCTAAAGCCTGAAGAGATACACAGGCCTTAGTGCTGTGGTAGGCATGGTTGGGTATATACTGCGTGCATACACATGGGTAAAGGATGTTTATTCCATGTCAGCAGCTGCTCCACTTCAGCAGTTTTAGCCACTTTTGCTTACCACCACTAGAGATACTCTATGTTTGTCTCACCATCATCACTTCCTAGCTTTAGTTTAAGAATTTGCAAAGACTTCTGCAGAATATTACCAAGGCTATAGATATATATATAATGGGTTAATGCAGCATTGTGGTCACACACAGTAATTTTCTTTCCACAGTTGGAGTTGCTTCAGCAAAATAAACTGCAGTTGAAGTACAGGGGTGTCTGTAAGCTCCAACAGTACACTGCAGAGGCTCATCAGGTGTCAGAAAACATAAAAAGGTGAAAATTCATATGTGCTTGATTCAGCTTTTACAGCTAAAAAACCAGCCACCTCAATGACATCTGCTTGTCAGTTTTTTTTTTAACTAGGTTTTGTTCATTTTCCACACTGAATGGTTTTTCCACAGTATACAGCCAAGTATTAAAAGTAGTACATAAAGAATTTGCTTTCTTATGCATATTTTCTTTTTCTTTCTTTAGTTTCTGCTTCCTAATCAAGGCAATATTTTGATGGTTAAAGCTGCATGCCATTATGGCTAGTAGTGCTGAGCTAAGACTGATTACATCACTTAACATGACTATTCAAACAGAAGTTTCTAGAAACTATTTATTCCCGAAACAAACAAAACTATGTCTTACTAAAAAGTACCTTCAACAGGTTTCTTATTTGCTTAATCCATCTGACAATCTTTCAGACCTTTGCCCCATACCCATTTTTAAGCAAGATCTTCGGTCTTGACATGTCTTTCTCTAGAAATGATTCACCAAGGTAATGTAAATTTGTTGTTTAGATTTGAGCTAGTGCTGTCAACTTTAGCTTGCAAGTGGCAGTGCTACCTTAGGTTTAGGGCAAAACAAGTGTTACTCCACAAGTTCAGATGACAGGTTCTTCCTAGCCCCCTCTGCCACTGAACAGAGGACAAGCATTTCCACTCATGCAGCTCTGGGTGCCACCACCCTCCTACTCCAGTGAGAACTCCTGTTCCAGGCATTTGTCTCTCTTCACAATTCCCACACACATTGGGTGGGAATTGTGGCTTCAAGTTTGGAGACACAGTTCGAATGCCATACAGGAAAGCAGGGCTCTGGAATCATCTGCTTGCCAATCTTATTAAAGCTGAGGCAGAAGACAATTTAAATCTTCCATTAGCATCCAAAAGACTGATTCCACCTTGGAAGATTATAATTTGTGATTGTTTTCACATTTAATGGTCACAACAGAATAATCTGAGCTTTGAAAGAACAGCAACATTTAAAAACAAAAACATGTTTCTTGGCTCACAATTCTTTCAGTCCTGTTGATCAAATTACATTTTTCCATTAATATTTTAAAAGTTACAGTAACTGACCTGTTTCTAACAGACACTGATAAACTATCTTTTGCCGTTTGGGTAGTTTAAATTATTCGGGGTTTTGGTTTTTTTTTTTTTTTAATGCCTCTTCTGGGCTCACATTAAAAAAATTGTCAGGGATTGCATTTACAGTAGATGTCAAGTTTAATTTTGTTAATTCCACACATCTG